CTGAATTATTTTTTCGATATTTCATTATTACATCGAATTTCCAGATATCACTGAAATGTTTATATGTTTCACTCTGTAAACAATTACATAATCTGAACCATCTGAATTATATTGAGTAATATGGAGTACGTTAATGATATGAACGAAAAAAATTGCACTCGGCATCTGTGAATTTCGAGAAAATAATTAAATAAAAAATACCGATTTGTAACTTCAACGCCCTGTATCTCAGAATCTGTTCATCAAAGAACTTTACGATTCTGCAGGTTCAATCAGTTCATCGGATTCTACAACATACTGAAAATTCAGAAAATTTCACCGAGAACCATTTAACGTACTAAAAGTGCAGGTTATCTGTCTTGAATTGTAACTATAGTGTAATGGGGAAGTTTCCTTCGGATGAATTTTCATAAAATGAGTTCGGAAATCTCCAGTTTTATGTCCACGCTGTACGGAATGGCGAACGATAAAGTCCAAGTCGTTTTCATTTTCAAATTAAAGCAATTTCTAATTTTCGGGGCGGCAAACTGTGACGTACATTCTGAATCTAGTCTGAAAATAGCTGATGGTGAAGAATATAGCTAGCGAATAGGTATCGAATAAAAAACGAATGAAAAAAATAGAAGAAGAAGTAAAATTGCTAAACAAAAACATACATAACTTGGCTTCATGCTGACAAGATATGGTTTTGTTATTTATGCATTGAAATATCTCGAATAGAGCTCGATCCTAAACGGAAATGTCATTGAATCAATGAATCACTATCTACTATTCTTCCTAATTTACTGCCATCGGTCAGAACAGAATGAAGCCGGCACCCATTATGCGCTGTTGCAAGATATAATCTGCAACAATCCTAGAAAATAGATCCGTTTTATTAAGGAACGAATTCATTAGCAAAAAAATGACTGACAAGTTATGAATAACATATTGTAATATAACGATAGTGAAAAATTATGGATACTATCGCAAAATATCTCAATTTATCTTTATTAGTAATCAACTTCATTCAGCCAATGAGAGATTTATGGGAATTATTCATATTACTTGACAAAGCAGGATTGAAGAACCTTTTACATCCCATTGCTGTTATGATATAGTTATTATGCATTCAATGAACAATTCTCGAAAATCTAGACATAATGATAATGTCGGCAACGTCGTACTGACACAGGCAATCGTATTTTAACTCTGTGTGAATGTGGATTTTCAGAAAATACGTCATAGGAATGGTGGAGGAGCCAAGTTCCTCTTTTATTAATTTTTTTCTGAAGTGAAATTTCATCTTACGAAAAAAAGAAAAAATACGTATATATTAATTTTTTACAAACTTCACAGTTAGATAGAAACCTCAATATAGGAAACTTCCCCATTATTGTAAAATGTGTAGTTTATGTGACATTTCCGATAATATATTTTTGCAATTTTCTCCTTCTATGTAGGATATGTGTGTTAATACATTCGTATGACACCGATGAACGATTGATTGATTGGTTGACTAATGAGTGAAACAAAGAAAGCGCTTTTCTCCACATTCGTCCACCCTGTATAACGATACACCAAATCATTATTTGGCGAAGGAGCAAGAAAGACGACGAGTAGAGGTTGTGGCGAAGTATCCACGAAAATGCCAATCCAATGTTTTCGTACTTTCCAGCGGCGTCTATCAAGCACCTCAATAATCGCAATATTTTATGTGTATAAAAAATACAAATAATGTTCATTAAACTTGATAAATCAAAAACAAATGTCGAAGAGTGGATTAGGTAGTTTATACATACCTATAGGTAATTATACATTGATCATTTTTCAAAATTAACGGATATTATGATCATCCCTCATATACAATTAGAAATAATTATAATAATTGCAATCTCTGAAACAGGAAACATCAAGGGTATTCCGTATTTCCATATTTCTCATCGAATATCAATAATCAATATTGCATACGAAATATCAATTTAGTGAGTAATTCTCTGGTAGTAGTCCATGCTCAAATTGGAGGTGATCAGTTAATCAAGAGAAAAACTCAGAGTCCCCACTCCAAATAAAAGTGAGACTTTGAGTTTTTCTCTAGATTATTAGTAATTAAGTATTATACGAAGGGATAAACGAGGGATCAAGAATACCCCTACTGATTTTTTTCAAGTTTCATGGCCTAATAGAGCTTAAAGTCTTGTCTGAATATTTCGTGAACAAAAAGAAAGTTCCTCAGTATCAATCTACATCAAAATATGAAGGTTTAACCCAAGCTCATATACAGGAGAGATGAATCATATATGTCCAAATTATAATCCACAGAATTCGAAACTTGTGCGGGTTTAGGAAGAACGGACCTACAGGCTATAGAGTAGATTACGAACCACTTCTAGGTCGCCGAGATGCTACCAGGGTTACAACCAAGAGTCAAGAATCACACATTTTCATGAAAAAGGCTCAATCAAAATCAAGCCAGATTCGAACCGACAGCACCTCTTTGTGTGTGAGCGCCTTGAAGACAGATCGGATACCGTGCCCGCTGTGGCGTGCCCAGGAATTTTTTTGGGGGGTCGTCAGTTCGATGAATAGTATAGGTACTTAATGAAAAAAAAAACACGATAACTACCGATAGCACACGACGCTTCGGATGGATCTTGGGGGGGTTCAAACCTCAAAATCCCCCCTTTTGCACGCCATTGAGTGTCCGTACATATGCTTTCGTCTTTTGTATTGATGTGAACAAATTGGATGCCTAGTTCATTCTTTTCATCAAAATATAGTTTTTCCTCCAGCCAAGTTATTCCAGAGGAACAAAATCATATGTTTGTAAGGCATTTGCAAGTTATTATTTTCAATCTTTCAAACAATGAGAAATTGTTTTAAAATAAGACTGTGTCAGATGAAATATATATATAATTTTTTTAAAGAATTTGAACGTAGTACCTATATTACAGGAGTAGCGAACCAATGGCACACCAAGATCGAAGTCACACTTATAATGTTACTTGAATTTAAATTACGCAGATTACGCTCATAACTGGAACATTTATTAATACATTGCCACATGTATTTTTTATGATAGTAAATAAATAATAGTGTAATGATAATCCCCCAGAGGGGCTCTAGAACATCATAAGGAAGGCAGGAGTTCAAACGTACACCCTGTAACACGCGTCCCAGATTCTTCTCGAATAACATTTCAATGATTATGGGGTATTTCCGAACACTCAATATAAAAGGTGACAGAAGATCCTCGAATAAGCGATATCGAAGATTCTATAAAGAGTACCTAAATCCATGGATAACAGTTAGAAATAGACGCAATGTTCCAGAACTATATGCAAGGGTACAAGAAATCATAGCAGCGTGTGTCGAAGAGATAGTCATATACCGCGTGATATAAATAGTTTCACATAAATAGTAGCTATAAGTTTGTTATAAATTAGTGTTCCTTGAGTTAAAATAAATCAGTTCTAAAAAATATACAAATTACAAATGTTCCATCGCTGTGATGAGTGTGATGTACAGAACAAAACACATCTACGACATGACATCTCTAAGATGCCATGGTGATACACTGCGATATCACAGATGTTCCATCGCTGCGATGTACAGAAGCAAATACATCTGTGACATTACATCTTTGAGATGCTGCGATGAGGTGACACTGCGATATCTCGATTTAATGTTCCATCGCTGCGAGGTACAGAAGCAAACACACCTGCGACATAACATCTCCAAGATGTCATGATGAGGCAACACTGCGATATCACGAATGTTGCATCTCTGTGATGTTATTCATATTCTTTTCGGTGAAAAAAAAATATGACAACAAAGTGAAGCTAAATTCGCAAACATTCGTTACATTGTTGTATCAAACTATTCTTTGTTTGCTTACATCTCACCGACACAAACTTCATACTTTTTAATACAAATACGAGTAACTGAAACTGAAGACGATTGAATGGAACGGAGACCCGAGGGACCACCAACCAGTCACAACAATGCATATAATCAATATTAGATGTCATCGCAGAGGTCAGTGGTGCATTATCACACCATGTTTGAGGAATTTGCGATGTCAACTCGCATGACATTGTAGTTTCATCACAAATACCATATGGCTACTACATTGCAAAAATATATAGATGTTATATCGCAGATAACTTGTCGCAGCAACATCGCATGGATGAGATAACATCCCTCTGAAATCGCAGCGACGTCTTTGCGACATAGAATGCGATATCACAGGTCACAATAGTTACATCTTTGCAATATCTCTGTGATATTACCTACTGTGTTTGCTGGGTAGTGCCCATATTTAGTATTATTATTTTCCAATAATCACTACCTAAATCAAACTTTTTTGATGGCACGATTATTAAACATGTCTTCAGGAAAACTAGAACGTTGATACATAAAGGTTTGCCGCCATTCTACTTGTGCCACCCCTGACCCTATAAAATGCGACCACAAGTTTATTCCATTGCTCACATTGTAGAGTAATTTGAACCAGTGCAATGACGACTAAATATCAAGACTGTCTGACGGGAACCCGTCAGACAGTCTAGATATTTAGCCGTCATTGATCCTACTCAACAAACACCCAAACAAACACCACCATCACAATAATACATAATCACTCATTGAAGCTTTTTGAATATATCTGTGTTTGAAGTCAATTTGAAGTAGTAGTAAAACTCTCAGTCTTCACTAGTACTTCATCCATTTACTCCACTTTGAGGGGCCATACCGGGCTTCTACTACAGATATTTGAAGGAAGCAATGAAGGAAGAAATGATTTGTTCAGTGCACACAGTGCAGAGTCAGTGCAAAGTAAATGAACAAGATATAGAAGAAGATTGTTCGACCACGTTCGACATTTGACGTTTGGTTATCTGACATTTGATCACATCTGACACTGACAGATCCAGTATACACATTGACATTACACAGTTCACAGCTGACGAAAAAGTGAAAGGGTAACTTCGAACCAACTTTTACTTATAATTTCTTCAATACCTAACGACATGGCAAATAATAATAGCTACAGAACCGCGTACGCCTTCGCAAGAGAAATGTACCCCAAGAAAACCAAAAGTCATTTACAATATGGGACAGCAGGATTCAGAACCAAGTAGGGCAGACTATTCTCAGAGGTATGACTAATAAGTGAAAATTATTGATTTTGTTCTTTATTCTTAGAGCTACGGATTTAGAGCATGTTATGTACCGTATGGGACTACTTGCAGTCCTACGAGCGAGGTACAAAAAATGTAAGTTCATTCAGAAAGACTAGATATTGTTCTGCACCATGCCCAATTTCAGCTGTCATTGGAGTGATGGTTACAGCTTCTCATAATCCTGAGCCTGACAATGGTGTTAAATTAGTAGATCCACATGGAGAAATGTTAGAGCAGTCCTGGGAACCATGGGCCACAAAATTTGCCAATGTTATGTGAGTTATTTTCAAGTTTAATTATCTGCTGATCTGATCTGAACAACTCATTGATAAGATGGATTAAAAAAATGTTTTTCACTATGGTGTTTGGACAGTAAAAAACTCTGCCTTATCATACTACAACATAATCTATAATTTTCATCAAATGACACTTTGTAGGTGCATTATTTTATGCTCTTTTTAGGTATGATATCAAATTTGTATACACTGGTTTCACTAAAGCAAGTAATTCATAATAATTGTTGATAAGTGCTCTTTTTACCTAGCTTTCTACTTACTGCAGTTCCAAGTGATTTTTTCACAAGCTGTTTCAAATATTCGGGCTGATTTATATATTTTCATAGTAGAGATAGTCATACTAGTCATAGAATTGTAGAAAGTTTGATTTCTTGCAAGTGTTGATTTTATTACATTCTACCAAGCATCCACTATTCTATCATAAAAATTGTGGAACTGGATTTCTATGATTATACTATTGTTTTGCTAGAGGTCTGACCTTATATAATTGGTAGTTGACCTCATAAATTATTGATTCAACATAAACATAATTGATACAAATTGATTAATGCAGGCAAATAACTTGAACCAAGACTTGAACTAATATAATTTTATTTATTTTTATTTATTTATTCATTGAACAAATAACTCCCAGACAGAATAGGCTCTGGTATAAGGAAGTACATAATTATATACCTATAGGTAAACATAGCATCATTCAAAATATACCAACAACTGAAAATTGGCACACAAAGAATAATATTTGTAAAAAAAAAATAAAAAAATGGCATTAATTTTATCCAGTTTGCTCAGAAATAATCAGTTTTTTTACTTCATTTTTGAAGGCTGAATGAGTGAATCTTTTTTGTCTGATTATGGTGCTAGCGGCGTCAAGATGAAACAAGTTATATTGTCTAGTTTCATGATTATAATGGCCAAAACATTCTCATTAGGAATACACTATAACTGCTATAGATATGAATGTATGAAAAACTGAAAATATCAATCAAAATGACTTGCTACAATGAGTCATGATGAAAATTTTTGGACTAGCCAAAGACTCATGTCATAGACTGGGATTTTATTTGAGGTTTCTCAGATTGATTTCAGAACAAAGAACAATGATTATTATCTGTATAGTGTATAATAAATAGGTTTATCAGTTTGATAACATTTAGCAGTTTAATTATGTTCCTGATATCAGCTATCAATCAATCTGCTCAAAACAGAAACATAGTTTTCCTCACATAGGATTTTGGTATTATTATGAATTACATTTGAATACAATACCTGTTGTGGAAAGTTCTAATGAAAAAAATTGTTTAGTAGAATCCCCTGGGTTCCTCTTGCATCAATAAAAAGGAACCAAATCAAGGACAAAAAATTGTAATATGCCCCAAAATTTTTGAATGAAAATTACTAGGAAAATCAATGAATTCCACATCAGATAAATAATGATGGTTATTTGCTCAGGTTATTTGTTTCTTTATGCTAGAAACAGTTTGTCTAGTCTAGTAAATAATTTATTTTTTGTGTTCACAAGTGCATCAGTGCCAATTTCCAATAATTGACCAACATCCTTCTGAAGTAAGAGACCTATTACGCAATTCTAGACTATTTCAAATAGATGAAAGCTCTAAGTATTCTCCACAATATTTATCAACATTGTTATGAGATACATATTTCATAATTTCACAGTCCATCATCAGCCATACTGCTAATCTTAAAAATATTTCGATATTTTTCAGTTATTTTTCGTCAATTGGTAAAAATATAAAATTTGATGAACTCCTTAAAATTATGTCTCCATCGACTCGGGATAATAAAAATCGAGATAAAAATTCACTTTTTCTCTGGAAAATTGAATTTGCGGTTTTCCTTCCCATCTATGATGGAATAGATATACAGAATACATGCAAGGAAGCGGGTCAGTGATTTTATTATTGACTATTCCACTCTTGGTCTCTAGAATCAATCAAAAGCCATTTTCACGGTTTCTTCCGGTTTCTTCTGTATTACAGTGATATTTTTTTGTTTACTAAATTTTATCGAACTTGCTCTACCAATACTGAAGCCGAATTGACCCACACGTGACCAACCTCCTCGTTTTTTAATACTCGACTGTCCGCAGACTAATATTGAGGGCATTAGCGACACGCTAAAATTATGTTCATCAAGATGATATTCTTGAAGTAAGATTTGACTATATTTATTATTGAGGAAGAATTATGATTTGCCTGTAAACGGGATTACAGGACCATCATTATCTTTCTCTTTTGTGAAATATTGTATCAAATTCGATACAAGACTTCGTGCTAGCCAATTCAAACGGCATGTTGAATATTTGACAATGATTATTATACAGACGCTGCATCTTGATGTCCTTGTCGTATCGACCCATAATTTGACAATTATGTAGAGGAATTACGTCAATCTGACGGTTGGATTTTTTTTTACTGAATGTAATAACTAAAATATAAAATATACAGGATGGGTCAGTTTTTTGTCAATTTTAAGATGGAATAAGGCTCATGTAGACATATTATAGGGTGGACCAATAGTGTGGCAAAGTGAGATAACGGCTTTGCTGTTTGAGATAGATGAACAAAAATTCTTGAGATGGTCTAGTCTCATGAGCAGTACATTTCTGAAATATTTCGCGTTATACAGGCTAACTCAAAAATGCGTGGCGTATGAAACTTAACCTTTTTTTTAGCACATCTTGTATTTTATTGCATCTTCAGATTCCTCCTTATGAGCTGCCAAGGTTCGAGCATTGATAACTTAATCACTTAATTGATGATTTTCGCTACTTCGGCTCGTGCAAATCCGCAGATTATGTTATTTCCGTGATCCGTGACTAATAGCCTTCAAAATAAAAAAAATCAAACGCGCTCGAGAATGTACAGGTGACGATTTTTTTTGCAACTTTGTGGCTCTCACATTTCCGCTTATCTCATTCACACGCTAAGAAATATTATACAGACGTACAGTCGCATTCAAAAAAAAAGCGTACAAGTATATTACAGAGAGAAATTAACGTCACCCCATTCTGCATAAAACGGGCTATCGGGAATGATTGTTTACCAAATGTTGACAGTAAAGTTGTCATAGGTTCTCAAAAACACAAAGCGTTGGCTGAGCCAGTTTAATACAACTAGAACCAGGATCCCGAAATCCTCTCTTTTTGATACTTGTACGCTATTTTATTGAATACTGTATGTATGTTCACATAAAATGTTTATCTTGAAAATGTGCGTTTTTCAAGCTGTTGAAGTCCTGGTAGAAAAAACTAACTCACCTGTATATCTGATTGATTGATAAATCGATCGATGTACGAGTTGTACGACTAAACCCATTCTCATTATTTTTCGATCACTCTCATCTGCACTATCTTTTTTCTCGCCATCTTTCCAGCGACGAGAAATTAGAGGACACTATAAACGAACTAATCAAAGCATTCGATATCACGAACATGAATGACAGAGTGGAAATAGTTGTAGGCAAAGACACGAGGCCGAGCAGCCCCCACCTGGCCAAGGCCGTCTGTGACGGGGTGCTGGCCCTGTCTGGCAAGCCTATCGACTATGGCATTGTGACCACCCCGCAGCTGCACTATTTCGTCGTGTGCAAAAACACCAACAGGTAGGGTTGTTACGGTTATTTTCACGAAGTTAGCTTGAACAGTGAAATTTTCAGATATTTCAAATGAGTTTTCTAATTCTGTAATTTCACTAGAAATGTCCGAGGGGTAAATCTCCAAGAAAAATGTGTTCACCAGACTTCCAATGAACAAAGACTTCCAAAGACTACCGAAGACTTCCAACGGGTACACCAGACTTCCAAGAAGATTTACCCCTCGGAAATGTCATTACTTTGAAACCAATAAGACCTGTAGTGAAACTGATATAGAGTAGCATACAACCTTCCAATTTTATCCTTTTCATTTCTGGATTGGACTTATCACCACCCCACAAGTACTGCACTGAAGCTAAATAATTCGGATTACTATTTGCCATGTGGTGCCAGTTTTTATTTAGAGTCTGTTCACTTTTTTCACGAAATTGTCGTTCTTCGTGGTTCAAGTGAATTTCGTTCATTGCGTATCAGAGAGTGTCACCTACGATTATGAATTCTTTTTATACCCAGCGAAGTGTCTGATATTGAATAGAATTTTGTGGTTTTCCTACTACTCTGAAATTCGCGAAAATCACGAACCAATAGATGGCTCTATTTAACGGCAAATCAACGTCAAATTTCAAACTGAGTATGAACAACAAAAACATTGCAGTATGCACTCATTGCAAATTGGTTATTTCGAAATCATTTTGCAAAATAGTGAATAATGAGTTGACTTCGTGAAATACGTACAAGGTTTCCAGTATGGAAAAAATTACTTTTTGTGCAGAGAAATTGCCATTTTGATGTGGACAATGGTGGTATTCATCATTGATATCACACTACAATTCCACAGTTTTCAAACATGTGGAATGGTCGGAATGGTCCACTCAACACTTGCATGGACTGGAATGGAACCATATAAGCAATCAGCTATTACAACAATATGGTATAGGTATGAAGAAATAATTGAATTCATCAAGCAATATCACTGGCTTTTATGAAGGAGATTGAATTCTAGTGGAGGGTCTGGGAAAAGAAGATATGGTTGGAGAGGCTGCTCAGAATGAACAATATCATCGATTTACATTAACAAGGATTTCCAGCAATTGAAGACTTGGAGTTATTCTCAAGATCGAATCATTGCAACCAACATTTAAACAAGGATTCTAACTGTGCTTCAGAAAATGTATATTATATTATTATAAGGTAGGTACTGGCTTCTTCATTGTAAACAATAAAAGTTCATGCAATAATTCGAGTTATCTTTCATCAGGGAAAAATGAGGTTCTGGAATATGCACTTCAACAAATGAATTATTTTCAAATAAAACACAGAAACTCAAAACAGTCGCCATATTTGTTGTTCATACTCGCAAGACTTGTAAAGTTAGCCACCAGAGGCCGCACACTTCGTGATTTTTGCGAATACGTTTATTTGAGTAGCAGTGTACCTGAGATCTGTCAGTTTGCAGATACCTAGCAAGGGAAAAATAAAACTGGTTTGTCTGACTCGGCTCGTTTCTTTGCCGCAGATATACATATACAGTGTGAACCCAAACCAAAAAACCCTGAGATTTTAGAGGGTTTCGCCGCAGACCTATTTATTTTACGAGAGCCTAAAGGTTTCAACCATTCTCAAACCTCATTGTCAGATTGGTCATAGTGAATCACATGATACAATATGGACGCATGCGCATTCGCTCGTAGAAAAACTTAAATTTTTTTAACGAGACCCTCGGGGTCTCGAGAGAAAGGAAAAAAATATCCTTGAAATCCTAAATCACTATACAAGTGATCACAGTGGGCTGACACCATGCTATTAGTGGACCAGAATAAAACTCTTTGACCAAACTTAGCCTCCACAATTTTATTGCGAAAAATAATCATCAAAAACACGAATCTCAACCTGTCTCAACATCACGTGATGGGAATGGTTCCAAAGATTTAAGCACTTCTTTGATTTTGACTTGTTTATCTATCATTTATTATTATTTATATATTTATTATCCGATTTTGAAAAACAAAAAAGCAAATAATAATTATAATAATAGGTTTTATTCATAATATAATATAATAAGAAGGAATAACATATGGCCAATCAATGGGGGACTACACGTTCCCAACCTAAAAACCCCAACCAATGTAGAAGCAACATTATGGAAGTTATATTACTCAAATGGCTTTATTTTGATGCTGCAGCTGGCAGGCCTGCCACTGCAGCATGTGGTAGTGAGTACATTGCTAGCCTCCAAAACACAATCGAAAAACTCTGAAAGAGAGCTGATGGACGGTACCTAAAAAGGGTGTTAGCCAGCTCTCATAAGCGAACCACATCACTCATAAAACACATTGGGGGTTGCAAAAAGGTTTCATTAGGGACTAGTTGCTGACGTGCAAACGTCCCCCACTTCTACCAGTACCAGTATACCTCCAGGGCAAGGTGGATAGAATATGGTGTAATCACAGACAGTGTTTTGTTTCTCCCAACACGCTTGACAGCAGATTCCGCAATAATGGCATATTGGTTCTCAGTTGTCCACAATATGGCGACACTTTACAGATTTATTTCATGACAGATAACAGAAAACGGGACTCACACACAGCTTGCACCAGAGATAATAATATCATAACATTCATAACATAACCTCAAATCAAATGAGATTGAATTTGAAAGTGCAAAACTGTAATTTTGGGGAATTTTAATTATCATCAGTTCTACCAACCTTGAATTTTGGTTGAGATTTCGCCATCTAACGGGTAAAATGCGACCTATATTCCGCGATATTGAAAAGAATCCTCCTGTCAAGTAGGTCATAGGTCAAGAACTTTGACCGAAAAACAGTAGATGGGATTTGATAGGAGGAGGATTTGATGTGCAAGCGATTCTAAAAAAAAATCTCGAACAGAAAAAAAAATTAAAAACGGTACAATTTAAGTTTGAAAAAATAATGATCAGATGTCAGTTAGTTTGTATTCTCAATCACCTCACTATAATGTTTTAATTTTCATTATTATTCAAAAATTACTATTTTAACTTTCATGAACAAAAGTGGTTTCTTGGTAATTATAAATTTGATTGATTGGTCGATTGAAATGATTCGTTGGACACTGCTAGCAATGTCTGAAAATTTCATACAAATATATTACGAAAATTTCGAATTTCACTTCCAAGTGCTATAGGACAAATAAAAAGTGAATTTTGTTCAACCTGATAGGGCGTACGGCCAGCCCAACGAAGAAGGGTACTACGCGAAGCTGACCAACGCGTTCAAGAAAATAAGGGGCACCGAGTACACCAAAGGCAACTACCATAACCGAGTTGTTTATGACGGGGCCAACGGAGTAGGGGCGAAGAAGATCAAGTATTTGAAGGAGGCGCTAGGGGACAGTTTAAAGGTCGACATGTACAATGACGAGATCATCGGTTCGGGGAAGCTGAACTACATGGTAAGTACTGTTGTCGAAGAGAAGAAGCTGAAAATCCCTTGAATGGCTATGGAAATTGGGGGTAGAACTGCCGTTTCAGGAACGATGACGCTAGCGGTGGCCTGTCCTGAACAAAACGCGATGATGAGAAACTAGAATGAGAACTCAAACACGTCTTTGACTCAATCGGGAATCGGATGTCAAGTAACACTTCACGTCTCCGATTCTCATCATATACATTTAGGGTAACACTATTTTCTCGAATATTTTTCGATCTCGTAACAATCACCTGATTTTTATCTCCTGAATAGGTACTAAAATGATATTAGAAAAACATAGAAATAGAAAAATTATCGAAATCGATAGTTCTCTATAGTAGAACTATAACTATAGATAGTTACAATCGATGTTTAGTCAACACTACTCCGATCGTTTCATTGTGGTACGGACTACATCAAATCCTACCAATTCTTCCCCAACGTTCTGTCCAAAGAGACGAACGTCCGCTGTTGTTCTGCATGATTGCCTATTTCCAATAAAAATATATCTAACTGGCGAAAAGATTTTGCAAAAAACATAGTGTGGAGATTCTGTTGCACAGGGGATTCCAGCATTGGTGTTTGAATTGCTTGTTGCAACCTGTGAAAGCTCCAGCTGCTTAATATTCACTGTTACTTCACAGGTAGTCTTGAGTGCTGCTCTGTATCATTCGTGAAGAACTTGTCAGTATTGAAGGTTTGATTCGAGTAGATCCGGCTCGAAGGACCAATATGTTCGAGGCTTGATAGATGATGGACTGTATTTGTATGGTTATATGATATATGATAATGAAATAAATATTGATATTGGAATTGCAATTCGCAATCGTTTCAGTGTGGCGCGGACTACGTCAAATCCCACCAAACTTTCCCCAACGGCCTGCCCAAAGACAAAAACGTCCGATGTTGTTCCGTGGACGGCGATGCGGACAGGATCGTCTACTACTACACGGACGACGACGGCTTGTTCCATCTGATGGATGGCGACAGGATAGCCACGCTGGCGGCTGCCTACCTCAAGGAGCTGCTGCAGCAGACGGGCATCGAGTTGAATCTGGGGCTGGTGCAGACGGCCTACGCTAACGGGGCGTCCACCGATTACATATCTTCCGAGTTGGTGAGTCATCTTGCAGATATTTCAAGAATAAATTTAAAAGGAAACTATGCCAAGTATGCAGACGACACGGTACTTTTATTTGAAAACAAGAACCCTGTAATTTTAGGAAACAACATAAATGAGGATTTGAAGAAAATGGAAGAATGGCTATACTCCAATCATCTTTCTCTTAATTCTAATAAGACCAAATATATAAATTTCCATCAAAGAAATGAACAAAATATTGATTTGATTAGAATAAAAAATGGAAGATTGAAACAAACTGCCTATACCAAATACCTTGGTATTTGGATTGATGAAAAGTTAACATGGGACAAGCATATTGGCATGCTCAAAGAAAAAATTTCTCCCATAGTTGGTGCCCTAAGAAGATGTCCAAAACTTAACCCAAATATAGCATAATTATACCGTTCTATACTCTCACATCCTTAGTAAAATGAACTATCTCATAAATATTTGGGGTTCATGTTCCAAGAATAATTTTAACAAAATATCTGTACTATATAAAAAAGCATTGAAAGTACTGTATCGTCTTCCATATGACACCCCATCAAATCAACTTTATGAAGAAACAAATACATTTTCTTTGGAAGAGCATTATCTGTAAAAACTTCACAAACGATATCTGATAAATACTCTCAAAATTTCTTTTGCTATTATCAACAAACACTTCAAATCTAACTTGATATTGGTAAGGAATTCTCAAATCCATGAACATCATATTAGACAAAATGACTTGTTTCATCTTGATGCTGCTAATTCTACTCTTGGCCAGAAAAAGTTCACTCACAGAGGGAGCTATCTCAAAGTTCAATAAATTACCTGATGATATCAAAAGTTGCACAAATATCACCCAATTGAAAATTAAAGTCAAGAAACATATCATCTTGCAAAGAGAAAATCAAACCTGAGTGAATGATTTCTCATTCACTAATTTATTTCATCATGTCATAAATGTACTTTTCATGAGCTTTTTGTTTTATTATTATTATTTTTGAATCTGCTGTTCATTTCAAAAACAGCAATCTCATACCAGATATGAATCTGTCTGATTATTCATGTTATGTCATTGTAAATGTTAATAAAATATATTTATATTCATATGAGATGCAATGTAATGTTTATAGCAAAGAATGAAATAAATATTATTATTATTATATTCTTTAAATCCAAACAAACTGAAATCTGAACTAACTGCATGGCTTACCATTCATTTACAATGAATCATTGGACCGGCAAGTAACACGACTTTGCAGTCAAAGCCTACTATCAAAATGGCAAGAGTCCATTTCCTGATTTTCGATACATTCCAATATAACGTGCAACCAACCTGTTTCGTCAAATAACGCGGATGAAAAGTGGGAAAACAACATCGAGCAAACTGGAACGTATAATCAAAGAGGTGCTAGACGGTGGTGTTGGTAAAGCAGTTCGAACACACTCCGATCCCAGGTCATAATTCGATAGAATGCATGTGAATGTACATGAATGGTTAGAAACCGAATCATATTTGTCCGTCAGACAACAAACGAACAGGCTTGTCAGGCGTCCTGATTTATCCGGGATTGTCCTATTTTGCACTCATCTGTTTGTTGTCCTACCCACTATCCATAACGTCCCTGATCCACTGAAACTGCTTGTATTGTCCCACTCTGGTAGTAAAGAAGAGTAGTACAGATTTTGAAACAATTATCAGCATCAGCAACATGATAAGTATATCAACTGATGTAGGTATGCACTTACTCGGAAACCGGTCATTTCTAAAACGAGCAAATGGGAAGAACAAGAAGATCCAGAGACCTTCCAAAAGGTCACTACTTCATTATGATGATAGAAAATAATTATAATCAAAAAATTCGTGAGGTTCAGTACTGTTACTTTGGGGAAAAAAATTAAAAATATATGTATCTTATCTGAAATCACATAAGGATTCCAAAAATTGTAAAATAAGTGGGGGTTGCTATTTTATATTTTAGGGGTAGTTGCCCTAACGGTGAAAGGGTTCAATATAAAATATCAGCGGATACCTCGAAAGTTGTTCCCATTGATATGTAAGTTGACTGTTTGCGCCAAATTATCATACTGTCATCAGTTGAAGAAATATTGGCTGCTCCTGGTTTTCAAATTGTAAACCTGTATGTCATACAACCAACCCGCGTGATCCGTGGTATGTTAGCATAATTATTGTTTCATATATTCATGTAAATCAGGTGTATAACAACTTCATGCTGATATGGGTACTATCTTTGATATCTATAATTATTGTTCTGATCCCAAAATATAAAATCCATGAAATTGAAATAAAATATATATTTATATTTTAGAATGTTCCAGTTGCTTTCGCATCAACTGGTGTGAAACATTTACATCACCAAGCATTGAATTATGATATTGGAGTTTATTTTGAAGCAAATGGCCATGGAACTGTGATCTTCAGTCAGAATACCAAAGAAAAGCTGAGGGCCGGAACAAGATGTAATAGGTAATTTTATTTCACAAATAATGTTGATGTTTACGGAGTATGTGTGGTATTTACTAGGTATTCATTTTGTTTCTTAATTGAATGCATTTTTCATTTTAGTTTTACTGAGGATCAGAGACAGGCTTGCTCCAAATTTTTAACTCTGATCGACTTGATTAACGAGACAGTGGGAGACGCCATTTCTGATATGTTATTAGTGGAAACAATTCTTCATGAAAAGGGATGGGATATTTCACAGTGGGAAGCTTGCTACACGGATTTGCCAAATAGACTGATGAAAGTGACTGTTAAGGTGAGAACAATATCAAATTCAACAATGGGTATCAAAATTTTTGGCACATCGGGTAACACCGACCCAATTTCTTCCATATTATTCAATAAAATAGTATCTCAGCCTGCCTGCGACCTTGAAGAATTTCCCAGATATCATCTCTCTTCAGCTTCTTCTTTTCTTTTTTGATACGGTATTGCTTCAGATCCCGCAGAAAGGGTTATTATATTTCTGTTGGCTAGCTTGTTCAGTTTCTCCCAGCATTCCCAAACCATTTTAGATCTGATAATCATATTGTTCAGCGCACTTGAAGCTTGACTATCTGACATGACGATGATATCTCGCCTTTCATAGCTTACTTTACACTTTACACATTAACCTCTATCGTGAACTTTCATCTGGAATATGCTTAGGAATTTTTCAAGGCTTTTGAAGGACTTGGTTCGAGGCCTTTACACTGTTCCAGTTCCATCTTCGGTTTAGGAGCCATCTGAGTACCACTTTATGGCTCGCTCAATACCGGTGGTCTCACTGTTCCATTCTTTTTTGCATCTCAGCCTTCTGAAATGGTTCACAAAGCTGTACCTTTTTTCAACTCATCCTGAGAGAAACCCTGGATTTGCTGGTTCACTGGGAAGATTGGCCTATCTGTGTTTGTGGCCTTGTTGATTACTTAATTCTCGTGTTCCAAATAAGTTTTTGGTCCAGAGTGAGTACCAAGTACTTCACCTTTGTTTTCATCCTTATCGATCTCAGGCATTCTGATAGTTTTGAGATTAGTTTTCCGTTTCCTCGTGAAGGTCACTAGATTGTTTTGGTAGCCACACAGTCATTTTTAATATATTTATATTAGCTTCGTATGTATGTTTCATGGGTTTTATTGTTTGTAATGCAGTCTTCGAACGTGATTTTTACCCACTTGAATATATTGAATATGTTTACTTCGCCGATGTGCACCTCGTGTTGTCTTCTTGGGTGGTTTCCGCCATAATAGTGTGTTCATTTGGGGTTGTTGGGTTTCCCCTCTTCAACAAAATGAAACCATATTCCTTTTTTTTTGCATAAAGATTTAACAACCTTTTTGTCACTCCCACGACAGAGATGTAGTAATTTTTTTCTGTAACGGGAAAAAATGTCATCTCTGTTGGCAGGTTATAAAATGTCACTTTTCATAAATTACTGTTTTCCCGGATATATATAACAGATATACACTGTTGATGGCTTTTGTTGTGCTATAGTTCCGAAAAATGAGTCAATATAATACCGTCTCCGAGAAAGAACTGCAAGTCATTTTAATTCGTCTTTGCGGTTACGTATATTACTAAACAAACACTAAATTCGCAATTTTTTGAAATCAAATCACAGAATTAGAATGACAGAAGTGACATCAGATTACTTGAAAAGTATGAAAAAGATGCCTACAACGCAGGTTCAGATTTCGAAATAATGTAATATCTTCTCAATATTGATTCGTCCCTTCTTCTGTCGCAAAAAAAAATGTGTATTATACACGGGAAAATATTAGATTTTAGCTGACGGTTTTTTGTTTCCCTCCGCTACTTTTTTCCTTGTATAATAAATAACTATTATTATGGACATATGTTCGAAACATGTACCAACTGATTTCATCGTTATTGATCATATTGAAATATCGTGGACATGATTTCGCGAATTATTTAGTAGTTACTGCTTTACTCCACTTTGAGATACCATGGACTCCTACCGAAGATTACACTATTAACATTTTATTTCGTACCTCTTTTTAGTTCGGCTATCTACAGTGTCATTCATAAAGTCGGCATCATATGGGAAAAACTTTTATTAATGACTTATTTTGAAATTTGAGTTGGACGTTAAGTTTTGCTTCAAAAAAGATGAAAAATGGCCTACTCAAACGGGGTCACGTGACTTTCGCTACATGTCAAAAGTGACATTTTTTCAAATGAATCGCTGAAAGTAGGCTTATTTGTTCGAATATCGAAAAAGTTTACTTGAAAAAGTTGTTTCTATTCGAATTTTACATACAGTGACTCGGATTTCATCTCTCTATTACATTTTTTAGATTTCGATATTTTTTTAAAATTTTCGAAATTTCTGTAATATTAAAAAAATTGTTAATTCGATAAAACTACTTCATACCAGTAGTTTCATCATGCTACTAACTTTCAATTACTAATTATCACTAATTATCGACAAAAATATGATTTTCTTCAGAAAATGATAATCTCCCCTTCAAAATTCTGTTATGTTTGATGCAAATATAACATCAAAATTCTGTTATGTTTGAATCGAGCATTTAGAAACGAAATTCATTTGAATTTATTTTTCCAGTACTGAAAAGACCAGTTTAAATGAATTTTGTTTCTAAATGCTTGACGATATATCAACTATGCATCAAACATAACAGAATTTGAAAGCGGGTATTATCATTTTCTGAAGAAAATCATATTTCTGTCCATAATCAGTGATAATAAGTAATTGAAAGTAAGTAGCATGAAAAAGCTACTGGTATGAAGTAGTTTCGTGGAATTAACAATTCTCCAAATATTACAGAAATTTCGAAAAATTAAAAAAAAAAAATCAAAATCTAAAAGTTGCAATAGAAAGATCAAATTCGAGAAGCAATTGTAAAATTGAAATAGAAACAACTTTTTCAAGTAAACTTTTTCGATATTCGAACAAATAAGCCTACTTTCAGCGGTTAATTTGAAAAAATGTCACTTTTAACATGTAACGAAAGTCACGTGACCCTGATTGAGTAGGCCATTTTTGATCTTTTTTGAAGCAAAACTTAACGTCCAACTCGAATTCCAAAATAAGTCATTAATACAAGTTTTTCCCATATGATGCCGACTTTATGAATGACACTGTATAAAAGCGTGTTTCTTTAGTATTTCAAACTACTATTTGTTTAATATATTTTTGTGGTCGACCGACTTTGTGTTGTTGTTGTTGTTATTCTTCTTTTTCAATTTCCGATTTTCAGGATCGCAACGTGATAACCACCACCGATGCCGAAAGAATTTGCCTGACGCCTCAAGACCTGCAAGACGAAATCGACAGCCTGGCAGCAAAGTACCCGAAAGGTCGATCGTTCGTCAGGCCCTCGGGCACCGAAGACATCGTCAGAGTATACGCGGAGGCCGGCACAACCGCAGATGCCGACAAATTGGCGGCAGAGGTGGCCTTGAAAGTGTTCGAACTGGCGGGGGGGATCGGCGCTCCTCCCGAGATTCCTCAATAAGGGTGGAATGATGTTGTTCGAGACAGCAAGAGATGAAATTTCACTCGGGAAAAACTCGAATTCAGGGTTTCTTGAAGTTAATTTCACTTGCAAGAAACTCAAATTCGGGATTTTTTCCAGGCCCTCCCTCCCCCACCAAGGCATGCGCCAATAATTTTCGAAAGGAATTTGTAAAGTCACTGGATGGTATTAATCAGATAAGAGTTCGGACACAGAAATGGCAACTGCTAGTGCTTTTGAATGTTCAGATTTATTAAGTTACACACCTTGCATTGTGACAAAAGCTCCATAGTCGTCACACGCTTCTTCATTCAAATAAATTGTTTGAATTTGACAAAACAAATTTATGAATGTCAGAATTGAAATATAATTCCATATAAACCATTGAGAAGAAAGCATGAATGAAAATGTCCTGCTGTGTAATGAATTGTGTGAGTTCCGAAGATAATGGATTTCGTTTTTTTAATTTTCCACAGGAAAATTCAACCATTCTCCTATGGAAGGTATGTATGAAACTACCTGAATGAAAAATTAATTTGAAGACGATCATTTGTGAGGTACATACATTAAAATCACTTCTTATGAAATCAGATTAGAATGAAACTATATTTTGGGCCCATTTTCAAACAGATGATTTTAAGATCCGTTTGAGAGAATCTGCTGTTCCATTCATTTTCAAAACTGACAATAAAAAAAATCCATCATGATCATCAGACGAAATGCAAAGCATTATTATCGTAAAGAGGAATTGATTACAAAACTACTTAATGAAATTTGAAATTTCAAAACAAAACTGAGGAAATCAAGCAAATTGCAACGTCCTGACATTATCATTGAATTGCGTTTTTAATACCGGCCGAACTAGCTAAAAGTATATCCATATGTGTATATTTTGTCTTATTAAATTAAAATCTCGTTAAATGCTTATTTTCATTTCAATAACTTGTGTTTCTACCCTATTTCTATTTTCCGTCTACGGCTATGATTGATTTGACAGAAAATCTAGCCTCTTAAATCGTATATGGCAATCAAGCGCTATTGGAAATTTGATACTTTGATTCTTTTATCCATTCAAACCATTGTAATGTAGAAAACAGAAAAGGACAGAAGTTCAGTTGTGTCCGAACTCTTATCCAACTAATACCATCCAGCGACTCTAGGAACTTGTTGCCATTTGAATTGAAACATCGAATTTCAAGGAAGAAAACCGTGTTAGCATCAGTCAACTTTTGCAGCTCACTGCAATAACTATTCTGTTAGGGCAAAATTGCGCATTCTGGTTCCGATCAATAATCTGAAAAGAAATCTGACCTATCTATCTCAGGTTTTCAGGATAACGCCATTTTTAAGTAACTTCCCAGGAATAAATCAAAAATGATATTATATTTTTTCAAACACTCGAAGAAACAACAAACTGGCGACAGAGGTGCCTCTGAAAGTGTTCGAACTGGCGGGAGAATCGGCGCCTCTCCCGATATACCTCAGCAAAGTTGGGTTGGTGTTGAAATTTCTCTTAGAAAATAACTCAGATATGTATTTTTTAAGCTTAAATTTTGCCCTCAAGTCATGCCTCAATAATTTTTATGAGGAACTCGGTGCCATTTGAATTGAACCATCAAAAACAAGGGAAATGCTGGTTATTTTAGAAATCATTAACTTTTCACTGGTTACTGCAGTTATGCTGAAAACGTTTTTTCGTCTCGCCTCTCGCGATATACCTCAGCAAGGTTGGGTTGGTGTTGAAATTTCTCTTTGAAAAACCACTCAAATTTGGGATTTTGGAAAATAACTCAGATATGGGATTTTTTAAGCTTCTATTTCGCCCTCAAGTCATGCCGCAATAATGTTTATGAGGAACTCGGTGCCATTTGAATTGATCCATCGAAAACAAGGGAAATGCTGGTTAGGTTAGAAATCATTAACTTTTCACAGGTTACTGCAATTATTCTGAAAAGTTTTCACGTCTTTGCATGAGTTGAATTGAACACTGATCCTTTTAGCAGTATCATTTTATTCCTTATTTTGAATAATCGTGATATTTGTTCCGTTGTCGTAATAAATTAAAATCTAGTCAATAGGCAAGGGGTATATTGTCCATTTAAAAATTAATTGCGAAAATCGACCATTTTGATCACATCTTTAGTCACCTAGTGACCTCTATTCCAAACTAAGTTATTCATTTGGTATCCTAACTCTAGAAATTTGTCATGCTCTTGGAGCGCACGAAAGAAAATTCCTATAATGTTCGTGGAACATCGCGTTCCTAGGAAAAATAGGGAGAAGAGGTAGGTGTTGAATTTTTTTTAACTTTTGGAGCTTATATATAAGTTCTTGGGAATACTTCCATTGCCAAAGAATTCCAAAGCTTCGCCGTTCTATAGATGAACGAGTTTTGGTAGAGTGTTAATCGACATTTTTTAAGATCCGCTTTTGAGTCGAAGTTTCTGATCAAAAATTTCTCATGTTTAAACATTTCAAATACTTGCACACATAAGGAAATCAAGATGCATTAAGAATAAATTTGTTTATACAATGATGAAATTTCTCGATTCATTGATGTTATTCGAATTTGAGTTGGAAACTCATCAGTCCTGTGATAAACATTACTGTTCGCACTTTATCAAAATGATGATATGCAAGCTAAGAATAATAAGGTAAGAACTGCTTATTTACTCATGTCAACAGATGAGCTCTCGATGTTTTAGCGCTATTGACAGGCAGACAAATTTTGGGTCAATGAAAAGACAATGTTATACCTCTCGCCTACTAACTAGGTTTTTATTTAGATACAATGCTTGTACTAATGAGATTACAACACTTTTTTTTCTTCGAACCTAACTTCATTGCTTGTCTTCGCGGATAACACTGGAAAATACTCATTGAAGTTATACACAACGATTTTTAGTAGAGCTATTTAAGTGTTGAAAAGGAATATTCTCAGATAAATTATGAACATACAAAAATGGATATATATTTATATAAAAACAATACATTGAGAATTCGCATTCTCTATGTGATGAGAATATTTACTCTTTTTCAGTTAATTCAATAGAAAACAACTACTTTCCTGGCTATATGCCACGACGAACATTGAATTATATCTATTGAACACACACGATAAGAGTTTGAAAATAAAATATAAAAATTTCTGAAATTGAGAATTTGCATTCTCCTTCAGACAAAAATATGTATATACACACATCATTCTGAATATTAAACAGAAAACAACTACTTTCCTGGCTATTTGCCACGTCGAACATTGAATTATATCTGATGAACATTCAAAAGGGAACATGAAAAATAAAGAATAAAATCCTCCGAAATTGAGAATTGACATTCTTCTTCAAATCGGATGAATAATATGATGAATAATGATCTAGAAATATGACTTACCAATATATTCAGCATTGAAATGAAAATTGGAATGTATAGGAGAAGTATACTGGCATGAACTCTGATCTTGATGAGCTTGAAAACGTCCAAAAAATAATCATTCATATCAGTGATATGGGAAATTTTATCTCTCACACACAGGTTATATGACTTTATTGCAATGAACCCATTTCGGATCTCTGAATCCTCATCAGTAACCATGATGTCCACTTATTCTTACAGCCATTCTTCATGATATACACAATTTTCATCTCTAAGAATAAGTGGACATCATGGTTACTGATGAGGATTCAGAGATCCGAAATGGGTTCATTGCAATAAAGTCATATAACCTGTGTGTGAGAGATAAAATTTCCCATATCACTGATATGAATGATTATTTTTTGGACGTTTTCAAGCTCATCAAGATCAGAGTTCATGCCAGTATACTTCTCCTATACATTCCAATTTTCATTTCAATGCTGAATATATTGGTAAGTCATATTTCTAGATCATTATTCATCATATTATTCATCCGATTTGAAGAAGAATGTCAATTCTCAATTTCGGAGGATTTTATTCTTTATTTTTCATGTTCCCTTTTGAATGTTCATCAGATATAATTCAATGTTCGACGTGGCAAATAGCCAGGAAAGTAGTTGTTTTCTGTTTAATATTCAGAATGATGTGTGTATATACATATTTTTGTCTGAAGGAGAATGCAAATTCTCAATTTCAGAAATTTTTATATTTTATTTTCAAACTCTTATCGTGTGTGTTCAATAGATATAATTCAATGTTCGTCGTGGCATATAGCCAGGAAAGTAGTTGTTTTCTATTGAATTAACTGAAAAAGAGTAAATATTCTCATCACATAGAGAATGCGAATTCTCAATGTATTGTTTTTATATAAATATATATCCATTTTTGTATGTTCATAATTTATCTGAGAATATTCCTTTTCAACACTTTCATACCCAATCAGGGGGTTCAAACTTGAACGATGGAAACTTGTGATTTTTATAGACCTCTAATCGCAGATTCGTGATAGAGTCTCAATTCAGAATTCATTTCCACGCCCTGTATGATGAATGTCAATTTATCATACACCCAAAGAGCTATTTAAACTTTTTCATATTTTGATTTGAGATTTTTTTCAAAGTTCAAAGTTGGTCCCCACAAATCATGCGCCAATAATTTTATAAGGAACTCGGTGCCATTCGAATTGCACCATGAAAAACACAAGAAGAAAATGGTGGTTGGATTAGAAAGCGGTCAACCTTTAGCTCAGTAAAACGGGAACGATGAAAACTCTCCCCTAGAAAAAATTCAGATAGTCGGTTCCTCAACCGTTTTCCTGTGTTTTTGAGGGTGCTGAATCCGAATCTAGTTAATTTCTCCAGAAAAGCAACAAAGAATGCTATTTTTGGCGAAGTTTGGTCAATTTTTAACTTTTCTAGCCCCTCATCTATAATACATAAGCCAGAACAAGCATATTTGAACAAAATCATTTACTACAATTTTTATAGGGAGGTCTTTCTGATAAAATGTTTATTTTCCGAGTTGTGGGCAAAAAAACAGAAGTATGAACATTTCAGTTTTTTGCGAATATCTCGGAACACTCCTGAAAATTTTGTTTGCAAACTTCAGATTCGGATTCAGCATCCCAAAAAATATATGTCACTGCAGAGAAACTAACTACTCAAATTTTATGAACATGCAAATAGCATTTTATTGGACTATTATTACAGGTTACTGCTATGATTCTGAAGTTTTCATAAAGTCTGCATACATTGAATGGAATGATATGATCCCTTCAGCAGTTTCATTTTATTTTCTATTTTGAACGATATTTTTGTTTTGATCCTTGTACTGATAAAATAACAACGATTTGTTTTCTTTTTCATGGATAACACTGAAAAATACTCATTGGAGTTTTACACAACGATTTTTAGTAGAGCTATTTGAATATGAACTTTTTCATATTTTTATTATGTCAATGAAAGTGACATTTTGATATTATACACTATTATAACAGAGGGGCTATTATTCTTGTGATTCACAATTCACTAAACAAATGAATGGTATTAATCTGATCCTAATGCAGGCATTAGCACCTTAACTAATTGAACTAGGGAAAAAAAATTGCATAGGTGCCTTTGGCTATGTGATGATTTGGAATTTAATTTGAAATATTTAAATTGTCAATTAACCATTTAAATAAATTTAAATCAGAACCTCCCAAGTTAACTGAACATTTTTGAATTGGTAAAGACTGATGTTGAAAATATTTTACATCTCTTCAACTTGAGTTTCATTGGAATGATTTGTTTCACTATTAGAATTCAAGTTGAAAAGGTTAATTTAAATATTATATTCATAAGTTTAAACCTTGGTAAAGGTTTCAATCTACTAGTATTAAAAACAGCATCCATTATATTATTTCTCAGGCATTTATACTTGCTGACTATGATTGCATAATTTACTATTTCTTACACAAATATAAATATCAATATGTTGAAAAATGATGAGACACTTGAGTAACTATGTTTCACCTGAAATGAAATTAAATAAATCTTGCTATAACTAGCACAAATGTATCAAATTCAGTAAATAAGTAAGGCTGCTTTATTTTTGTACTAATTTTAGAAAATATTGTTCAAGGAGAAAAATCAAAGAACATGTGAAAAAAGCTTTAATTGGTTGAACTAATTTGCTTGTTATTTTAGTTGAAATGATTTATGGAGTTATAAAGTTGTATATAAATGTTCATTTTCATATTTTTTATCATTAACATATAAGTATGTAAAGTGTGAACATGCTTTATGTGGTATAGTTGAACTTAGCACACTGGACACTGCCAGGAAATGATATCAATGGGCAAATACACTTTTCCAGTGACAATAAGGGCCATTGCTTGCATATTCAATGATATTCAGTAATATTAGAGATTAATTATGAAATAACCTAGACCTTTACCTTATTAATTAATCTTCAAAACATAATAATAATATAATGATGTACCAAAATTTAGTGCTTGGCTGCTAGTAATGTAGGTGAAGGTAATATTTCAAAATACAATTTATTGGTTTCATTTGTGCTGGCATGTTATTATTCTTCAAGCAGAAGCAATTTTGTAGGAAAGAATTAGATTCCAGTACTACTACAATATAGTTTCCAACATTTCAATCAAACCTTGTCAATTCAGTGGTTCTTATTATTCTTCTTAATTTTTTTATTCAACAGACTATTTTTACATTGTTTTATTTAATATACTTTTATCATCATTAATTTATAATTACAAATATATTTATAGCAAATAAATCGATTTTATTAATAAATGCTAAATTTTTATCTGACACTTTATTAACAAATCCTTAGACATTTTCATAGTTTCTGAACTTTGAAGGTGATATTGACTAAAATCACAAGATTTTGTTCAGACAATAAATGTCTACCAATATTTTCATACAATAGTGATGGCATGGCACATCAATATCCATTATCCTGTCAGATCCAGTCCAGTCAGATTCAAATCTGCAGATGGATTAAAATGATATTCTCTATAGTAGCATAAAATTGATCTCAATCATTGTTATTGAAAATTGAACATGAATCACAAGTACAATAAAATGAGAAGTTACTTTAAGTTCAGTAAAATACCCTTTATTGATTTTATATCAGTATAAATCAGTAAAGGGTAGAAATATTAATTTAACTCAGCTTAGTTGCCTACACACATCTGCAATCTTCTTTTTATCAGAAATATATTTTTCTGCTACCTCAAATGTCTTTATCAAATTGAGAACATCCTTGGATGTCTTACTATTCACCCATACTTTTCCATTCACCCCTATTGCAATTTCATATGGAAACTTTTTCCCAAGTGTCCTCAACAAAGGGTTCTCAATGTCCAAAAGGCTCTGTGCCAGGGTCAAACTGATATTCATTAAAAATCCATCATTACTCAAAATGCCTAACTTCCCAGCTTTGTAATAGGAATCAATACAAACTAGCTCTGGCTCCATTTCACGATGGGCATTGAGCAATTTGGCATAGACCACATCTCCAACTTGTACATCGGGTTTGAGTTTCTTCGTTGCTCCTTCGAATGCCAGCATGGACAGTGATGCAAATTCAGCACTACCTATATCTGTTCTCAGAATGTCCCCCGCTTTCTTGACGACTACTCCCACAACCAGATCTCCCTTCTTAGGCACATAATGCTTTCTGTTTCCTTCAATCCAGTATGTGTTCGGTTCTTTGAAAGACAGTGTCCCAGCTATAGTCACACACAATGTATTAGGTTTTTCTTCGTTCTGCCGCAAACCTGGACCTAGTACTGTTACACCTCTCAATGACTTTATATTCTCAATTATGTCCCCTGGCAACGTAAAATCTCCAACTTTCAACATGTTCGAAGATTCAAGAAGACAGTAAAATGTATAATGTATCACAAATCAATCACATTTTCACATGAATTCATAATCATAACCTTAAACTTGACAACTTGAAAAAACCCCTACTCCCTGTCCCTCTAGGAAAACCAAAGTCAAGATAGCCCAGAAGAAGAATTCTTCTTATGAAATTTACTTACCACACTCACACTACCAACACACTACCACAGCCCACGCGTAAATTTTCGAACTTTGCCGAAGCCGAAGGTCCAGTGGCGCACAGTTTTTCATAATAATAATAATAATGTTATAAAATCTACCTATGAAGGAGAAAAGAAATAAAAAGCAGTAAAACCCTCACTTTTCATAGGTAGGTATTGACCTTCACTATAGCAAACTGCAGCTAAATTTTGCACAAAAGGCTTCAAAATCTCTTTCTATTTTCAAAAACAATTATTCAATTCAATTATCACCAATACAGGGTGAGTCATTAGTGTGGCAAAGTGAGATAACTGCTTCATTATTGGAGAATTTCAGAGATGATCTAGGATCATGAGCAGCACATATCCAAATTATTTCGCTTTATACAGGGTGACTCAGAAATGCGTGGCGTATCAAAGTTATACTTTTTCTTATGGGACACCCTGTATTTCATTGCATTCTCGCATTCTCCTTTGTGAGCTGATTTCATCATTGCATCACACTTGGGGTCTAGCGAGAATGATTACAGAGATATAGGGTGTTCAAAATCGAGATTTTTCAACTTAAGGATTTTTTTTGCGTCGAAACTATTCATTATTGGTCACACAAACAATAACAAATATGAATCAATGAAAATGAAGTGAACAGGCCGCTTTGACAGCTTTCAAAAACTCCGACAGGTGGCGTACGCTTATTTTCTATCAGGGATACAAACTTCTGAAGAATCTGAAGAAACAAAATAATAAGCAATTCGGAACTATTGGTGGGAATATATAAACAATCCAGGAAAGTTGGCTAGATCTCCAGCTAGATCTAGATCTCTGGTCTACATGGTTCTATAGAGGGAACCTGTGCAGAAATAATATATAGAATGACAATGGAAAAGTATGTATAATAATAATTGAGTCATTTTGTTATACCTAGTGGAATTGTATTTCAGACAATAGAAAAGTCATAAAACATATTATTGGTATTTCTTCTTTGCAAATCTCTGATTTCCATAATATCTGTTTTCAATCTCAACTTCAAAATTTGTCTCCATATAATTTCTCTATGACTGTCATTAGTTATTCCAAGTCTCAACAGTGAGTTATCATTGATTCTTAGAAGGGTGCGTCCTGTTATATCATGTTGTATGAAATTTTCTACATACAGGTGGTAATAATCACTGCAGTGTCTCCGTAACCATTTCTGGACATCTGTGACATTCCAAGAATACACTGATTTTGGTTTGTTATTATTAGCTTTGGCCTACAAAAGAAATAATATATCACATTTCAGAAATTATATTATGAAAATTAAAGTAGGTATACTCACTTTATTTGTATTGGAATTAATTGTTTCTTCAACCATTTCATGAGTTAATTCAAGAAGAAAATACCAATCAGTGGTATGGCCTGTGATCTGCTAAAATCTGCTTCGGAGTTTGGTTTGGGCTGTTGGTGGGCTAGGAAATGGCTAGGAAATAGGAAAAGGTAAAAACAAAGAAAACAAAAACAAAGGAGTTCCATTGGTAATGTCAGTGCAGACAAGGGCTGTTCCATGCATGCATGCGCATAGAGCCATTCTAGCCACTTTACGAAGTGTAGCACATTCCTACACTTCGTGTAATTTACACCGTATTTGAGCCAATGAGCATTGTTTTGAAAAGTGCATATCACACCAGTGTAGTTTATTTCTACCTGGTCTTGGACAGGTGTGAATTATGATTCAAGAATTGATAAAATCTCGATAAATTCATCGGTGATTATATTTATAATTGATATTAGTCAGGCAAAGTTTGTTGCTAGGCAACATTCCAAGATGAATGGAATCGGTAATCAAAATTGACACTGACAATTGGGTGAACAAATGATGGAGGTTTATATAAAAAAATACACAAAATTGGTTTTACAACATTTTGGGAGAAGTTATATGTTTCAAATGGCAGGAAATTTAGATTGCCTTGGATGAATTCCTGGCCTCGCTACGCTCGGCTATGAACTATCAGCCACGGCTGTCATTCTACTACTTTCTTGCCTAGTAAAATAATAACTATTTTCTACGGCAATAACACAGAATTGCTCTTATTTCACTGTGTTCGATACATCTATGAGGTACTTTCTATGTCATCAATTTCATTTCCGTATCTGATATCGCTCCATTGTGTTTTTATTAATTTTTAATTATTTTTAATTCGCCTACGGCTCATGTTGCAAACTTCATTCTCGTGGGGAATCAATTTTTGTCATAGACAGACCTGACAGACACAAATGAGTATGTACGATTGCCAAAGGAAAACGCTGCGCCACATATCTCTAGAAAAACTTAACCTAAAACTCCTAAAAAGTTAAACACAACCCAAAGATACTGTCTACACGACCGCCGCGGCCGTTGGATGCTGATTCATAAACGACCGCCGCGGCGGTTGGATACTGATACATAAACAACCGCCGCGATGATATTTCTTCCTTCTTCATAAAGAGTACTTCCGAGCAAAGCGATAGCTCAGTTGAAAATTCACCTGACCACCACGCCTGTGGCTCGGGTTCAATCCCTACTAGGCCTTATTTTTTCAAAACTTCTTTTCACAAATAATTTCTCGAAAAATATACTTCTCAGGAGAAAGGTTCATTTAGGTGAGTTAGGTCAGTTTGTTTGAAAAAAGTAGTCTTCTTTTTGATGCAGAAACGATATTTTCCTTCCTCATGTCTCACGGCGGTCTTCTATATAAAAATAGGTAACCGCCGGCGGTTGTTTATGTTTCAGTATCCAACCGCCGCGGCGGTCGTGTAGACAGTGCCCAACCCAAAACGTAAACAAAGAATATAGGTTGTAAACATAAGATCGTAAATTCGTAAACAGTAAACACTAGTAAACAGTCCATATCTGATGAGTCTGATAAATTGAATAATTAAAGGCATCGTGTTAAAGGCTGTAACCAATCCACAATGTCAGACTCTTCATTTGAATCTGATGATGACTGTGATGGCCTCCTTAGGAAAGCATTAGATGTCGACTTTCCAGAGGATTTCAATCCAAACTCCATTCCCCAAAATGGTAATTAATTACATCACTATAGATATTTTGATCTCAATGAAAAGATGTATTTTGAAAAATTTCAGGTCAAGAATATCTACATCATGTGATATATGAAAGAAACCAATGTGAAAAATTGGTTATTTCGAACATAGATCCAAATAAATATAGAAAAAATCAAACATATGCAGTGAAAGTAGTAAGTTCTTCAGATATCATTAGTCTATAATTTATTATCTTGGAATTTTCCAGAAAGATCCAGTGAAGACATCAATCAATCATTACTTACCTTCCAATAGTTGGCAGCATGAGAAAATCCAGCATTTTTTACACATGAAGCACTTCCTTGAGAAATATAATGATGGTGCTAGATCAACAAAGACTCTGACCACTTTTGATGAAAATGATTTCATAGAAAAAATGAAGAATCAGTTACCATCTTTCTCAGAATTTCAGACACTCTCACAAGCAATAAAAATTAAAATGCTTGAATTGATTATGAGACATTTAAATTCTTTAGAACCTGGGAACAGCATCAGTGACAATGTGGGAACTTGGATATTTGCTGTTTTGGTAATGTTGGAGATCCCTCTGAGTCCAAGCTGTTGCCATATAATTCGTGAATTTGCAAGAACTTGTATTGAGCTTAGATCTCAGCTCTCAGAAAATGCAGATGAAAATTTATATGTGCCTTTGAATTTTTGCATATGTATTTGTAGTAGATGTTTTGGACAATTAGATTTATCTGACTGAACTAAAAATGTTTATAAATAACCAGTGTACCTATAACTTATTTCATTTTTTTCTGAATTATATGGATCTTACCTGTCAGTATTACATTATATTCTGTAGTAGGAATTTAAAAGGTGCTAAACTTACTGAATAACTGAATACCTCCTCGCGTACTAGAGGTCGCTTACTAGGTTTTCAACTATGGTTTTCATATCTCAGTTTTCATATTATTATCTGACTGACCTTTACATCTTGTTGATTTAATACTCCAGTATATCAGCAAATTGTCCATACATTTCACTACTAGTTAACTTTTGATGTCATAGTCAAAAACACACAAAAAAACAGCACACTCCAAAAACGATGAAAGAAGCCCAACCGGAGAGAATTGTTTTAAAATTTGAACGTAGTGCCTACCGCACATCTGGCCTACTACTGACCTTCAGACATAGGCGTACCAATAAGAAACTGTTTTTATTTTTAGGGGGTCTTTTCATCTTTTCTTTATTATTTTAGGAAATACTGCTGAATTATGATAGGGAGACTATTAAGCTCACGTCCAAAGAAAAGAGGTGAAATAAACATATTATATCAACTATGGTGATTCTTGCTTAGAATGAATCACTGTATTTAGATAGTAACACATTTACATCCCTCTTTTCCAATTCAAATTATAGAACTACAATACAATGCTTCCACAAAATGTACCTGTATGCATATCTTTATACTTTGAAATAATTATTCAGCCAAATTGTTCATATCATACTAACCCTGATTGGAGCCATTTGCTAACATAGGCAGATTTCTCACATGAAGTGGAAAATAAATTCTTACAAAAATTGCAATAGAAAATGTTTATTATTAAATGAAAATAATATGAAAAGATCACATATCTGCACATTGTTTGAGTGATAAATCTTATGTGATACATCTTAAACTCATCTTTTATTTGGTTTGTATTTTTCCCACCGTTTGTGATTGACCTCAGTGAAGTCCCTACAATGATCTGCAAGGTCTTTCAAATACTGTGAGAGTAACAACAGTTCTTTGTCTTTATGACGATTCAAATGGGCCTCTCTGAATGCTCTGATTTTCAGTCCATTCCTTGGGTTCATGATAAAATTTTTACGAATATCATCAAACATGATTGTGTTCTTTGAGGAAAACTGGGGAAATTTCCCCCAAAGTACTCCAAGTGGTTTGACCTGCAAAATGAATACCTATAGGTGAGTATTGTTGACTTTTTCTGCCTTTTCACTCACTTCTATCACTCCATATTTAGGTATATGAACAGAGATCATGGCAAGGTAATCTAAGTAACAGGCAATTTTATAATTTGGATTGGATACAACTCCTAGTAATTTCATTTTCTCCTCAATCCATTTCATTCCAGTAGCTGACCAGATTACAATATCATAATCTTCATAGGCTCTGGTAAGGAATTCATGTAAATAAGGCCTCATTAGCTCAGCACCAGTTTCAGCTGCAGATCTGAATTAGAAATTACAGTTTTCATTAGACAAACATGTTATATAAAGACAGAATCAAAAGTTCTCCCTCAATCACTTGGAATAATAATAATAATAATAAATGTTCTTTATTGGTTAAAACCAAATGGCCATCGACCGAGGTCCTTCAGCCGGTCACTTGGAATATTATACTAACCTATGGTCAAACAGTGTATAATCAATATCCAAAACTAATAATTTTTTATCAGGTCTGAATTCATTCAATATATTAATCTTATATTCATTGATTCGTTTTTCTACTTTTGCAAGGTACACATCTTGGTTTTCTATAGCCACTTCTTCATCTTCTATGTCAAGATCATTCACCACTTCTGGTAGATCACTAGGAGCTTTGTTAGCTTCTTCTATATCCTCTTCTAAAGAACCCATCAACATTAATTTGAAAGGGCATTTCAGCTTCAGTTGGCCCAGCTTGCAATCATCTTCTGGCACTTTTCCTGAAAGTAAGAATACCTACTGGCTAAGTATCAAAATTGTCTTACACTTTAATTAGATACCAAATGAGTAACAAGTTTTACCTTTGCATTTAAGATTCAGTAATTTTTGTCTGTCTGGTCGTACTCCTGTTTGTTTTTGTATTTCTCTTTTCAAATCTGACACACTATCATTCTCACAGGATTCCAAGTTGTATTCCTTGCCATTCCATTTCAAAATTATTTTTAAATTTTCCATTATGAAATGATTTGTTTATGAACCTTTGTTTATGCACAATGAACTCAATATAATTGTTTATGCAATATGCAAAAAGCACTAAGAAGTCAGAATTTGCAGAAAGGTTTCATTATTTTTATTAATTCTGTCTTCTTCTCGCTTCTCGTTCAAAAATTTCGAAAGGCCTTATGGTCATTGTCATTACCAGTTTACGCACGTCACGTGCACGTGCCTTCAATTTTTATGACCTTATGTCATATGTCTGTGATTATAACCTTAGTTCATTATAGTTTAATTTTGGTGAAAAACAAGGAATTAAATTAAATTTTAAGCATTAATAATTATTTCACTCACATTTTAAGATGTCTTTAGTATCAAGAAACGTTCCAAGACTCCTATTTCAAGTATGACTTCATGCTTCATAAGTTAATTTCAATGTTTCTAGCTCTAGGGAGTAGGGACACTACTGGTGACATAACATCCTGTGAAAGCCCCGATCTTTGGCCCGGGTATTATTTAATGTGTAAAAATTATAGGCTACCAAAAAGTGCTCTTAAAATTCATTTTTGATATCCACTTGTCTAGAATCCAGAACTATTTTTTTGAAACGGAATGCATGATTATTGTTACTCCATATTTCAACCTAATATATCCTTTCAGGCCCTACAGAGTTCCAGTAGCAGATCAATACATAATAGCATAGCAAATAACACTGTAAGTACCTATTAAACATGATTTTGAATCTGAAGATGTGTGCCAACAGAATAAGTTAGGTTGGTATTCAATAAATTCAGAGCTACTGTGCAAGAATAATAACTTTTTTCAATGTTTCAAAGAAATATTTTTTCTATAGAGTTTATCAGCAAGGCGAATTCAAATGATCAACAAGATATTTGGATTTTTCATGAAAAGTCAGCTCAAGAAAGAAATTGTTTGGAAAATAAGCTATGATGAAGTAATAGCTGGAGTACTGTACCATATTATGAAATACCTACTGTTCCCAGTAATGTATCAATAATAATTATATAGTATGATACCTATTATTGTATGATTCTTCTGTGTTATCCACTAAGGTATATGTGCAAAATTGGTTAGTAATCTGAAGGCCTATTTATTCTCTAATATTGAAATAACCTGTAGAATGGTAGGTTTACTTTAGAAATAAATTCAAGATCATTGAAGTCAAAGAAACAGCTTCTAACATTGATTTTTTTAATTCATGAATAAATAGTCATGATGGGATTCCTACAGTAACATCAATCACCTTCAATAATGATCTTTTACTACTTTATTGGCCCTGTTTGCCTATTCTTATTTTTCCCTGAAATCTTGATTGAAAATTTTCAATAAAAAAAATGCCGATGAAATTCACCCCATTTCTTTGAATTTTCACTGAATTATTTTATTATGCTGAATTTCGATTTTTGATGTGGAAATCATAAAAATAGCAGATTCATGTTTTTCATAAATAATATTCAAAGCCCCAATATAATATAATTTAATTATATTTGAATATGATGGATACCAGATAATTCTATGTAAAATGGACACTTATTTCAAACACAATTGGTGTATTAAGTTTGCCAAGAAAGGAGAATGCTCAAAACAATAACACTATACATACTTAATTGTTCACACCTTGTATGATGACGGCACATAAATAAAATTTATGGACAGATCAAACCTTAAATAGAAAAGGTACTCTTGATCCATATTGATTAAATGACCTGTTTTTGAAAAAAAAAATATTTTTTTGCATTCCTGCAGTTTATGTTAATGAATGCCATTTTTATCAAACACTTTGTATAAAGCATGGTTGAATTCAGATTGAATAATGCTCAGAATCTGTGAACATGTAATATAAAAAACAGATACAGCATGATCAGAATTCTTGAATCTTGAACCATCTTGTATTTGTTCAAATTAAATTTCAGTAGATAGTAAAGCAAAAGTTGAGATAGGAACATGTAAGCCGTTATGACCAATTAATGAATAGTTTGGACACGAAAAAATCCTAGTGTTGAAAAACACCCTATATCTCTGTAATCATTCCTGCTAGACCCCAAGATATATTGATGAAATCAGCTCTTCAGGGAGAACCTAAAAATGCAATAATATACAGAGTGACCTATTTGAAAGCGGGTCACCATCATAACTTTTTTATTTATGGAGGGATTTTCACGATTTTTTTTTGAAATGTAAAGGGATAAAAAGTGTATTTTGGTGCTAACCGGTGTCCACTTTTTCTAAAAACCAAGGCCTACTTGATCTCATTCAAGGGCTGAAAATGCCAGAATCCATATTAGCGATTTTTTTGGAAAAATTCCACGTATGCCACTGGAATCGGCGTCCTCTTAAAATTTTCCAACATTAACAATTCTACAGCGTGTTGTTGGCTATATTTGGGTTCTTCCAACGGTTTGTCAGTAGACTAAGCTCCAGATATACGTGAAGGACTGAACTTTACCACAAATAAACTTTATTATATTGAAAATTACAAATATATTCCGACGAGATTCAAAATTAATAGTTATTCGTTTAACTAGGCAGCAAAGTAGTTGCCGAGTTGAACATATAATTTTTTCTCCGATTGTTCATAATGATATAGGAGGATATTGTATTTGAAAATTATTTCAATTCCCACAATCTCTTTATTTTTCCTGTAGTGTTCAATTAAAATAAAATTTGATAGAAATCGCAGTTGTTGGAATGGTTGGTTGCTATGGAAATAATAATTATAGTTTGACAATTCATGAAATTTCTGACAGTTGTGCGACAAAACATCGGTATATTTAAATTATTATATAATGGACAGTGATAGCGACCTGGAAGTACTTACTCCTCCATAAATAAGGGAGGTGGCAAAAAATATAGAGTTGAATTTGTTGCCGGAGAAGTCTCGGATGAAATATGAAGGAAATTATAAACGATTTATGGATTATTAATTTTGCTGACACATATCAATCAGCAAAGTAACCATTTTGCTGCCTAGGCAGGAAAAGTAATACTTTGCTGATTGATATGTGTCAGCAAAATTAATATTTGCTATTTGCTGCAACAACTGCCATCCCTCAAACCCTTAACAACCCTCCATGAATAACCATCAATATGATCAGTTTTTCAAAAACAAACATCCTTTTGGACAATGCCGTGTGCGTATTTATTGAAATGAAAAGGGTCAATTTTTTTATTAAATCGTATTAGGAATTTTCAACAGGAAAACTGACTACATAATATTATTCTTTATGGTTTCTAACCCCCATATGTACATTTTTTTATTATTCCTGTGAAAAGTTTCGAAAAAACGGGGACATCTGGAAAGGATTTTCGCGAACGTAATAATTATTTACCCGGAAACGGTGAGTTCAAGGTTCAACATAAAATAGTATATTGTGCAACAAGTGCGAAGAGTTCAACTTTTCTCACGAGTGGGAAAGTTTGTGACACGAGCCTGAAGGGCTCCACTTATTCAAAGAATCCGAGTAATGTAGCTTATTGGTATTATGCCACATTGAATATTGTGACCAAAGAGTAGACGCCTTTCCTAGTTCCTCAAAGTATTTCAAAAAAGTACACTCCGAAAAAGATTTTATTTCTGTATTTTTTTAGATTCCATGAATTTTTCGTTATAGGCCAATTATTCTTGAAATTTCAGGAAACATATCCAACTTTCTCAGCTTCTTCCATTATATCTGTCTCTGGCGGTGTATTTATCAAAACCGTCACATCTCGGTATACCTATACATCATATTATTTATTATGAATTGTTGGAATAATATTTGATGGAAAATGTGATTTCTATCAAAAGCACTAGTGAGAACGCCCTGTACTGAACACTTGAAGACGTATGTCCCTATCTCAGTGATTATGAAATCACGAGGGCTATCACCTGTCATGCGTTGTCGGTCGAATTTCGCAGCACCCTGTATAACAAGTTAGGCATTTCTTCAGTGGATTTTCCTAACGTTAGTTTTCTTTTATAAAGTAATTTTTTAATTCTCAAGATTATATTCCTTATGTTCTTGGAAACTCTTTGCTATAAGATTTTTGTATTTCTTGTTGAGCAAAAAAGGTTAATATTCATTTCAAGTAATTTTCCAGGCTGACCTAGCAGAAAGACCGAACGCTAGGACCACATGTACCCTGATACCCGGCGATGGCGTTGGCCCTGAGCTCATCTACTCCGTGCAGGAGGTATTCAAAGCGGCCGGCATACCGGTCGACTTCGAGTCGTACTTTTTCTCTGAGGTCAATCCCACGCTTAGTGCGCCTCTCCAAGTTGTTGCTAAATCCATCGAGAGAAATAGAGTGTGTCTGAAAGGTAAGCGTTCAATAGACGAACATCATGATATTTTCCTATGTAATACAACAAGTGTATTGATGATTATAGAAATTCAGATCCCTTCGGTCTTCAGAAAAAAATTATGTTGCCTAAAGGCAAAATACAAGGTCGAAAACACAGCATATTTAGGTATCTAGCAGTCAATCTACAGCCGAAACACAAAAACGAAAACATAATGTTCTCGATTAAATTAATCAAAAATGCGATAAAATACAATGTATTCCATTTAAAATATCAATGTTGCTACTACTTTCTAGTAGAAGCGGCAACACTGCATTATCTAAAATATTTTAAATGGAGAGAGCGTATTCTGAAATATAAGCATGCACATTTTCATGAATTTCTCCTGACTGATTCTCGATATAAAGATAGTGTAAGCTCATCGTGACAAACCCTGTATTTATCAGTTCTACCAACTTTGACCTCACTTTTCATTGGCGCTATGTGGTGGACAATACATAATGTTGATTGATTGTCATTGATTGGTTGGAAGGGTGATGTCATTAATTTTAGTCATTAGAATGATGAATCAAACATCAGTTATGCAATATCAAGAAATTGAAATTCCTCGATCAGTTGAGTGATTTTTGTGGATTCACCTATTCAACTTTACACAATTTTACGAAATAAGAAAAGCTCAGTCATTTCCACAAAATGTTTATAAAATGAACATTGTGTGGAAATGACCATTTCATGAACATTGTGTGGAGATGACCAGCCATGACCTCCCGTAATTTTGGTTTTGGAGTGCTTCTTTCTGTCTTTTCTACTCAGATGGTGTTGCTCGCATATTGTCTATGGAGGACGCCTCTGAGGGGATATAATGCCGACTTGATTTTTGTTAGTCGGCGGTCTTAGGACTACTGGCTGGAGACTGCCCTAAACTGATGAGAGTCAAAGAGCTCCAAACCGATCTGTAGGTGTCTAGCGTGGCCTGGCTAAATCGAAATCAATAGGCATTCAGGAAGGAATCACTTGTATCAGTATACGAGTCGATGCATAGGAGGATGTAATTCAATGTTCTGCGTGGTATTAGCCAGGAAAGTAGTTGTTTGTCTCTCGAAATCTACCATTCTTGTTCATTTTATAAACATTCTGTGGAAATGACTGAGCTTCTCGTATTTATTTAACATTTCATTCCACTTTGAGCATTATTGTGGCAATTTCGTAGATGAATGAAATTGTTGTTATTATGGGCAGGTATCCTTGCTACACCCGATTACAGTCACACTGGGGAGCTGCAGACTCTGAACATGAAGCTAAGGAATTCTCTCGATTTATATGCTAATGTGGTACACGTCAAGTCACTGCCAGGCATCAAATGTCGGCACAGCAACATTGATTGTATCATTATCCGTGAACAAACGGAGGGAGAATACTCTGCATTAGAGTATGAGGGAGTTAAAGGTGAGATTATCTCGAGGATTATCTGCTAGAATGATCTAACAAATACCTTATTTTTTTCTATGATGAAATAATGAATTTCCTGTTTAGGTTTTCAAATGTGTTTCACTTTCAGTGCCAAAAATTTGTTACTTAATAAGAGGCCGGCCGATTTTCAGAACCTTCTTTTATATATAGTTCTCCGAAATCTCTGCTTCAATATTCATCCTTTCCATACCTATTTTAGCTTTAGCCACATCCACTTGATACTATATTGAAATATAAATGGATATTCAGGTCTTTGAAACACGCGCAATTATTCGAGCACGACGGCCTAGTCGGAAAAATACATTTTCGAAAATCGGACAACCAGCTATGAGATAATGAAGTTGTGAAACACACTGTATACCTACTGAAAATGCATTATCTTATTTGTCTAATAGGTGCATTGCATCTAAAGCGACAATAATTGTTCATTTTGATATTTTACTCAGGCCTAAACATTTTTTAGGGGTTGTTGAATGTTTGAAAATTGTTACTAAGACAAAATCCCAAAGGATAGCCAAGTTTGCATTCGACTATGCTACTAAGAACAACAGGAAAAAGGTGACTGCTGTTCATAAGGCAAACATTATGAAGTTGGGAGATGGTCTGTTCTTGAAAAGTTGCGAGGAAGTAAGTGAAATTGATTATTCAAAGTTGATATTTCAATGAGCCAGTTTTTTATATCAAATTCAAATTCATAAAGTTCGCAAGTAATTTTAATTGCAAAAAATACCATTGGCAGTTCTCTAATTACTGTAACATGCAATATTTTGGGCAAACACGAGGAATTATTGGTACATGATTTAAAGAACATGGGTATTACTCACTTCAGATATAAACGGTTGGATAAATCAAGTGCTGCCCAACATGTATTCTTGAGAAACTGTTCACATTAATCGCAATAGAAAACATTTAATGAATCAAGATTTACGACTCATCCTTGGTTCAAAATTTTTTATTTACTTTGACACAATAATATTAACAAGAACCAACCTTAGATATTCCTCATCTGTTCAGAGTGTATTCAACTGTATCACGTTTGTTCCATTATGATGTGGTATCTCGTTTCATGTATTTACCGGCAGAAAAAAACCGACCAGCAAAAAATTTTGCCAAATTGATCACCCTGTAACTTTTTTATTCATGTCCGATTCTGGTGAAATTTCGACCAAATCGTAGATTGTTATCTCGGAGTGTTAGCTTGAATTTTATTTCTTGAAAAAAGCTGATGGCTTGATTATTATACAGGAAAAAACAAAATGTAATCTTCAGCCACCAACTTCTCAACAAAGGCGAGTTTAAACAATGGATTTTGTTTCACGTTATCATCGCCTTTTTAAGGAAAGATACAGGCCTCTTAAGAAACTATGACATTTTCAATTTTCTTCAAACATATATCAGAACCATTCTCCAACCTTCTGTTTAATCATGTTTTGAATTGAAGTGTGATACCTTTTCGTCTGTTCCTAACACAATGGTTCTTGATTCACGTTAAAATCTTCTTTTCAAGAAAAGATATGTGATTTAGGAAAAAAATGTTTTTCAGAACGATTATCAACAATAATTCAAAACCTTTTGAGCATCTTTGGGATGAAGCCGAGTGGCTTATTCCCCTTCGTCCGGCGTTTTCAGATACTCTTCAAGAGCTACGATTCGCCGTTCAACTAGAATTTGAGGAAATTCCTCAAGACTGCTTCATTAATTTTATCAACTCGATTCCACGGCGGTTGAATGCTCGAGGAGGGCATAATACTCTTTATTGACTACATCTAGGAGGTCTGCTTTTCGTTTTTATTTAGTAATTAAGGTTTCTGTTTGCTGGAGAGTGCTAAAAAATGAGGTGGAAATAATTGATATCCACTTATAAATGTGTTTCCGAGATTTAAAAAATCCATACTTTCTTAAAACACTTGTATCTTCTCTGAGAAAAAAGATATCGACGTGAATAAAAAACCATTGTGTTAGGAAGGGATCACACTTCAATCCAAAAGATGATGAATCTGAGTTTAATCACTCACTTTTGCCACAGGGCGTTAAGAAGTTAGGCGTGAAATAGTAGCTTTCCCTGTATAATGAAGTCATCAGTTTTTTTCTTTCAAACTCAAATTCAGGTTAACATTTCGAAACATGAATCTACGATTTGGTCGAAATTTCACTAGAATAGAACAAGAAATAAAAAAGTTGAATCCGAAGGTTGGTAAAGTTTATCCAAAAACAATTGCAGTTTCTTCCTTCCCTTCGAAGGGAACTTCAAAATCGTCGACGCTGAACGGAGCGGGATATTCTGCAAATGGTTTTGGATATACCATATCAATGTCGGCAATGTCCTTCATGAAGGAACAGGTACAGAGGCGCGACATACCAGGAATGAGACAATCAAAACACCATGTAGAGGAACAGGTACTGAGGCGCGTCATACCTGGAATAAGACAATCAAAACACCATGTAAAAAAACCTTCAAAAATGCTCACAAGAGGTCCTGTCACTTAACAGAAGGTATCTCGAGATGATAGTTGAGCTCTTGACTGAACACAATCACCTCAACAGGCACCTGAAGCTCATAGGGACCAAATATGATCCCATCTGCAGATGGTGCTTGGAGAATGATGAAACATCATCGCACATACTCACTGAATGCCCCGCGCTTGTGCTTCAGGGGAAATCTGCCTTTGGGAGCATCGTACTGCACTAAAAGGGTGTGAAAGTGAGGCAGCTGAGGAAGCTGCTGAATTTCGTTAAAGAAATTGGCATGCCCAGACTTAGGTGAAGTTGGCGCCGACTTTTTTGAAAAACTGAATTTTTATCGGAGTTCTGAGTAGATACGATAGAGTTCTGGGTTTCCTGACAAAAAATTTCAATAGTTCTGGTTAATTATAGAAAATAACCGGAAAACAAAATTGTGGGTGCTAACTTCACGCGGCGCCGCTTTTTTCACAGAAAAGAGTTCTGATGAGAAATTTCGACGTATTTGAAAGAGTTCTGGAGTGCCTGATATATTTCAACGATAGTTCCGGCGAAATAACAGAGTTATTCCTATTTTTAATAGGGACATTCATACGCTTATGTAGCATCCACCACTTTCTGAAGTTCGGATCGGAGTTCTGGGTAGCACCAGTCGAGTTCCACATACTATCTAGGTAACTTTTTTCTCTAAAATCGAAACTAGTTTTCATGAGCGAAAATAAGGGACCGACTGAAAAAAAAAGTTTTGTGAAAGATTTGGAAAGGAGAGACAATAGAGGAGTTCTGATCGGAGTTCTGGGTAGCACCAGTCTAGTTCTCTTTACTATCTAGATAACTTTTTTCTCTAAAATCGAAACTTCAGTTTTTATAAGCGGAAACGAGGGACCGACTGAAAAAAATAAGTTTTGTGAAAGATTTGGAAAGGAGAGACAATAGAGGAGTTCTGATCGGAGTACTGGGTAGCACCAGTAGAGTTCTACATACTATCTTGATGAATTTTTTTATTGTCTCTCCTTTCCAAATCGTTCACAAATCATTTTTTTTTCAATTGGTCCCTCTTTTCTGCTTATAAAAACAAAGTTTTGATTTTAGAGAAAAAAATTATCAAGATAGTATGTAGAACTCGACTGGTGCTACCCAGAACTCCGATCCGAACTTTTAGAAAGTGGTGGATGCTACATGAGCGTATAAATGTCCCTATTAAAAATAGGAATAACTTTGTTATTTCGCCGGAACTATCGTTGAAATATATCAGGGACTCCAGAACCCTTTCAAATACGTCGAAATTTCTCATCAGAACTCTTTTCTGTGAAAAAATCGGCGCCGCGTGATCGCGTGAAGTTAGCACCCACAATTTTGTTTTTCGGTTAATTTCTACAATTAACCAGAACTATTGAAATTTTTTGTCAGGAACTCCAGAAATCTATCGTATCTACCCAGAACTCCGATAAAAATTCAGTTTTTCAAAAAAAGTCGGTGCCAACTTCATATAAGTCATGCCCAGCTCATTGCAGCCTGAGTGCAAGAATCTACGCATCCGCCTACCTGTGCAGAGAAGAAGACCAAATGTTTTTGCTGGTCGGTGAGTGTATATGGCAATATTCTCTCTTCTAGATGGCCAAACTCTATCCGAAAATCGAGTTCGAAAAGATGATCGTGGACAACTGCACGATGCAGATGGTGTCCCACCCCCACCAGTTCGACGTGATGGTGACGCCTAACCTGTACGGCAATATTGTGGACAATTTGGCGTCGGGTTTGGTCGGTGGTGCCGGCGTCGTGGCCGGGGCGTCGTATTCGGCGAATTGTGTCGTTTTCGAACCGGTGAGTTACAAATTACTCGTTCCTTGAACGACTTTTCCTGAACAAATTTCACTCAGGCTGGTGTATGGGCCTTTCCAGTATCGTAAAATTTCACCCCTTCTCGCTATAATGTTATGAAGGGATGTTAAAAACGTTATCCTGACCACATATTCATCTAGAAAATCGAACAACAAATGAATTATTTACTGACAAACCTAGAATCGCAAGACTAAGAGATTCTAGGGAAATTTCGTGAATCAATTGTCAGCTGATGCAAGACAGACTGTTTCGACTTGCCATAAGTCTCATCAGTTGCACTGGCCAGCTGACAATCGATTCACGAAGGATACCTCCATATATTATACAAATCGAAGGATCAGCTATGCGATCATCAAAGTGATGTTCAATTCTTTCTTGCAGCTCTTGACGTGAATTCACCACTGTAGACTTTTTCCTTATAGGACCAACCTGTGTAGTCCAATGGATTGAAATCACATGAACGTGGAGGCCAATGAATCGGAACTTATGGTTGCTCAACCAATCACGACACCTTCTATCAAAATGTCATTCGCTCGTTCAGCGTTAAATCTTCTAATACCTCGAATAAACGATTTTCTAAAAAATTGAGGTACATAATATTACCATTTAAATTTCCAGGTAGAATGTGATAACCAATCAATTTGTTACTGGAAGTTGCTGCCCAAACATTTCCTTTAAACGAGTGTTGGTAATGTGATACCCTTTTAACATGTGGATTTTCATCACACCAGTAGTGTGCATTATGAGAATTGAATATTCCTTGTCGCGTAAAGGTGGCTTCGTCGGTGAAAAGGATACATTTCAAAAAATTTGGATTGAGAGCTGTCCTTGCTTGTAAAGTTTCACAAAAATTCACTCTGACTGGTAGATCGTCTGGCAAGAGCTCTTGGACTTGTCTGTTATGATAAGGATGTAGCTGTTGCTCTTTTAGTATTCTCCAAGTACTTTCAGATGACGTATTTATTTGTCTTGCCATATTCCTAACGCTAATTGTTGGATCTTGATCAACTAAATTTGAAATAATATTTTCTTTCCGAATGGACCTTATTGTTCTAGGCCTACTAGAATTATTTTTCTTGGTTTCACATTACCAGTTTCTCGACAACGTTGTTTCACTGCTCTGAACGTGTTTTTATTCGGTAAGTTTCTTCTGGGAAACCTTTCGGCATAACGCGTAACCGCTAAACAGACGTTTCCTGAACACTCGCCTTAGATCAATAACATATCGGTGTATTCAGCATTTGAATACATTCTGCAGGGAGATTCTATTTCACGAATCGAGTCGAATCCGCCATCTTTATTCGATATTTGGTATTGTGTTTCTCGAATGAATCGTGTAAACTCGACTCGATTCCTCGATAGCTCAAGATGAGTCGAGTCGATGCGTTTCGTCAATCTATCCTTATCTATCATCGAATGTTTCTTGCCATCTTCATCTCATAAATATAATGTATAATTAATTTTCAATGTCGTTCAAACTCAGAGATGCCTACTGGGAAATGTTAATAACATTTTTAGAACAGCACAGAACATGGCCACGGCCACAGGATGATTTTCAGAGTCTAATGATCGTGAAACCAATAAAAAAATGTTAATCAGGCTAAGCCAAGTAAATTCATTGGAGTTTGACGAGTGAACTCCTGAGAAATGGCGTAAGGTAGCATCTTTGCTATGATATAGTTGCATAAAACCTCAGTGCACAGAATATTTGAGATTCTGTATACCGATTCCTGACCTATTCCGTTCATACTTTGACCTATCCACTAATAAGTGGGGTCTCAATGATTGTATCAGAAGCCAAACCAATCTTTTGTTCAATCTAAATAGCTCAATGAATCATTTTTCAGGTAATAAAAAAGGATTAGGTGCTCGATTAGGTGGGTACCTACTTCGGTTACTATGAAGTTCTTGTCGTCCGACGAATTTGATCCAAATTTCTTTGCCTATCTTAAGCTGCTGAAATACCATCTCGACTCGAACAATTAGGATAATTTTTATTTTTGTCTTAGGATTACAAAAATTGGAATTCATAAAAACAATTTAACCGCCATAACCTCAAATTTGTGATGGCTTTTTGGGGCCTTGGCCTCGGTACTCGTTTCATTGAATCAAAATCTCATCCCATTTCGCCAAAAAACCGACGATTTCCGAAGTCGAATTCGATCGCTACTTGATCGAGAAATAGAATAGGAAGTGAATACGACTTCGAGTTCATCATCGTATCGTACGATAATCGACGATCGTGAAACAGAATCCCCCTGCTGATTATTAAACAACGTATTTATCAACAATAAATCGATGTTATTGACATTACAGTCTCGACTATCGATAAATGTCAGTTTTCCAAAGGCAACTCAGACGAAACAATTTTGAGGTTTGCGACTAACACATTTGGAACACTCACTGATTGAATATTACATGTTCAGGTTAAATTAATTTAATTTTTTTTCATGACTGTTCAATTGATAACTCCCACATTAGAATAATATCATTGGTTTTGGTTATCAATAAATAGGTAACAGTCTTTTATAATACTAACTTTCAACTAGCATCAGTGTTATACTTCAGCATTTTCAAATCGAAATATCCCGAAAACGGTACACAGTATCAAGTTTTACCAAGAACACCTTTTTAGTCTAAAATTGAATGAGTGTCAGATATAAAAACAAATTCATGCGATGTGTCAGCTTTCAAAACACATCCATACAAAATGTCATTACAATGTTGCCAGTAGTTTCAACATAATCGTAAAAAAGTGTATTGTATTGTATCTTTAAAACGGATGGCATTACGACATTTTTATACTGAGCAAACCCAACTTATTTTGCAATGTTCTACCTACCCTAGCAAGGGGGTTAGGTTTTTTTTAAACACCCTGTATTTCGTGTTATATTTTTCATAGAAGTGACTGGAAAGGCTCATTATGTGTTGAGATTTGACAGCGTCAAAGCCCTGTGTTAATCGGTTGTAGAAAAATAGCTACATATCATTGCAGGGCGCGCGCCATACTTATTCAGAAGCGGTCGGCAAGAACGTGGCCAACCCGACCGCGATGCTGCTTTGCTCAGCTAAGCTGTTGAGGCACGTCAACCTGCCGATGTACGGCGAGATGATCAGGAACGCGGTGGAAAAAGTGTTGAACGACGGTAAAGTGAAGACCAAGGACGTGGGGGGGCAGTCGAGTACGCAGGAGTTCACGTATGCTGTCATCCATAATCTGCAGATACCGCCTCAGCCACCCCTGCCTACTTATTGAGGTCGAATTAGGTGATATTAACAGCGAGTTAGGTGATTGAAATTGTTATAATCCAGTGTGTGATTTATTGTGACAGTATTTATTAATCTATTATTTATTGACTAGGAATAAAGTAACACCTTGAATAATTTTTTGTTCTCATTTGGGGGGATGAAAACAAATCCTGACAATTCTAGGAAATCACCAGAATCACGAACCAATAGATGGAGCTAGGAAAAGTCTTAAGGTCATTATTGTCATGTGTCATTTGTGATTAGTTAACCTAATTCAACAAACTCAGACCCACATGTTGGTTCATTCGAATATTTTCTTTATATCAAACAATTTTTGAAAACTAGAGCTGTTATAATGTCTGTTCCCTAACAGTTACCCACGCGCACTATACGTGGTTTAAAAATAGTTTCTCAGGTTATTTAAGTAATCTTTTTCCACCAATAATGGTAGGTATATTAAGATTTTTCAACAATACATAAAAACTAACATAAGCGTTGTTTCTTCTTACAGATACAGATTTTCTTCTTTTTATAAATTTGCTGATCATGAAGGACTAATCCTTCGAAACACGTCATTTTGTCCATGACCGTTGGTTCTTTCACCCCTCCTGATTTATATCACCTCCACTGTAAGTGATGGATCACGTACGTTGGTTGTCAACAAACATTTCTCATAAGGATCGAATGTACTTCGCTTATTTTAATATCCATATTTAAGGAAACTTAATCAGCAATCTAAAATATTTTTGATGATGAGTTATCAGTGACGGCGGGCCGGGATTGGCGCGATTTCCAGCACGGGCAAGGAACTTTTTTCAATATTTTATTTACGAATTAAATATTGTAAAGTTTCGGAGCATCGGCTGGGGATAGTCCTGCACGATTCGCTGTTGCGTTCCAATTAACAGTGCTGCTCTTAAAGTGGCGCATGGAGTTAGTAACAAAGCCTACACAGAACACGCAGAAAGATATGATGATGTGGTTGTGAGCATCAGAGAAGAAGTAGGACGGTGTATGTAGGTGGGTGTGGAAAACTACCAGCTGAGCGTGAGAGCGGGCCAGCTGCTTAAGTAGACCTCGGTCTCGGGGGTTAACGATGATAGTTAGCAGGCCTGCCACTGCGCATATGGTAGTGATACATTACTAGCCTACAAAACACAGCTGAAAAACTCTGAAAAGAGAGCTGATGGGCGGTGCCTGAAAAGGATGTTAGTCAGCTCTCTTGAGCGAACCACATCAGTCATTGAAAACACTTGGGGTTTGCAAAAAGGTCCCATTGGGGACTAGTTGCTGACGTGGAAACGTCCCCCACCAGTACCAGTACCAGTATCAGTGACGGCTCGTGTCCTCAGAACCTGGGACGGCCAAGGAAAATGTTGCTCTAGTTCGTCAACCAAATTTTTTGTTTGTAATGATATGATGATAAATGGCTTACCAGATCATAGAAAGGTACTTACGCTCGCTATAACTATTATTAATTTTTGTCTGCTAAATCTGAAACCCGAATAAACTATTTTCAACCACTTCAACACACGACACACCAAAAGAAAAGCAATGACTAGTAACAAACCACCCCACTCCTTCCTGGTCGGCTGGCCGTACCTCCGTTTATCGTCAATTGCCCTTAAAATGTTTCCCGCGGTGGAGGTAAAGTACATAATATATTATTCATTACATGCGCCTTTGAAACTAAATAATATCCTAGAAGTTCCATATTATAATATTTTTTCGATTCACCTATGTTCTCTTATTTTTGAAACAAGGACTCATTCACTATCTGACTAACGATTGCATTTTTTTGTCATTAGATTCTTTGTAGTGTAATTTCAAGTGCATTGAAATTTCGACCAAATTATCTCATTTGTTCTTACTAGAGGTACATATAGTAAAAGAAAACACAATCATCTACAAAAAAATATATTTAGCATTAAATGATACAAAAAAGATCGAATCACAGATCTGCTGTAAACTACATACAACTAAATACTACATTATAGAGAGCTAAATAATACAATACCAATAATTCTAGCTGCAAGTAATCTTATCCTATGAAAATGAAGGCACTTCATTTCACAAAAATGTTGTTATTCGAGGCATCTTGTTATTTACAGGGTGTTCCGATGAGAGCACCATGTATGTAAATGAATATAATAATTGAGTATGCAAATTCCTACTAATAACGGTTCAGTGTAGCAATGAATATTAAATTGATTGAAATTATTCTTTGGGTATTACTCTACAGTTTGTACCTATCAATTAACATTTTTTGAATAATATCAATAGTGATTCGTTGATTTCAATGAGGGAATGATAATGATCCAAACTGTTACCACCGATACAAAAAGGCCAGGAAACTCTGACGTTATCATAGTCTGATGTCATCACGGAGAGCGGTGATTTAGATTTATAATATGATTTTCTACGGCTATAACACAAAATTGCTCTTCTTTCGCTGTGTTCGATCGTTACCACCGATACAACAAGGCCTGTGCGCTCCGCGGTGTGGCTAACAGCGGCTCGAAACGACAAGCGCTTATGGTCGTTTATGGTGCTATAAGGCGACCGCGTATTTCTATATTTTAGTTTTAGATCATTATTGAGCCGATTTTGCTGTTTTTTTTTGAAGGGCTTCCGGTTGAAAGAGGATGCCAGCCGTCAACTGAGCCCTTCTTCGCATCCCATTCGATTTTATTATGGAAAAACGAAGTAAAAGTAAAACATAATTCATCTTGAGTTCGTTAAAACAATATTGTATAACTTCTATCATGTTTGGTTTGTTAGTTTATTAGTAGAATTTGCAGATTTCCAAGTTTCTAACCAATCTATCATTTTATGCAAGAAAATGAATTTTTCATCGGAACAAAAATTTATAGCTGTGATAGGTTCTTGAAACACATCATTCAAACGTTTGCCCTTGAGGGGTGTTTTGACATTCACAATTTTCCAGCACTTGAGCATCAGGTTGATAAATCTAGCAGTGCCTTCAGAGTTTTCAATGTTTGATCCTAATTTTGAAAGAGCCTGTACTATGAAATCATTGAAAATTTGGAGAGCCAAAGCGACGTTTTGTCTTTCCATATTCAAGGGAAATAGTGCCTTCAGGTTCAACGAATATCCAAATTTTAATAATTTATCATGTTCTAATTCGTGAAGGGTTTTTAAACTATGAAAAGAAGCAAATCTTTCAACCCCTGTTTCAAAATCGGGATAATTCAATTTCTGATCTGGTTTTGAATTGAGCCAATTATTCCTTATGCATTTCAACAAATGTACAGAATCAAAAAGATAAAAAAGAGGACGTGATGTATCTGCGGGATGAGGATAAACAATACTGAGTTTTGGTTTTTCTGCAAAATTACTCATAGCTTTACTGTTGACAGCATTATTGTTACTGATAATACAGAATATTCTGTAACCAATTTCCTCTAATCTATTTATTTATTAAAGAAAAAATCATGAGGTGATCTATTTTTGATGTTGGACTTATATGAACAACTTCTTTCACATTTGACATAACGCTTGCTATCATGAAGACAAATGCGGAATTTGCTAAACATGAATTATTAAATGCCGTTCCTACAATATTGCCTGCCTTGTGATCTAAATATGGCTTTATATGAACTTCATCCATCATTAAAATTACATATTTTTCAAGCTCACCTAATAACTTAAATACATTTTCTGCATGAGATAACGACATTTGTCTTTCTTCGAATGTAGGATCTGTTAACAAAGAACTACCTGAATGAGGTAATATGAGTACTCCAAAATGTCTTAAAAATTTATAAGCATGTGGACTTATTGTATGAATTATAGAGGCTACAATTATAGTATTATTCGAATAACGATAATTTAATTTGCTCAGAGAGGAACAATAAAGCTGAAGTGTTTTCGGAATCTTCATCAAGATCTGAAACCGAGTCAGAAACCAAGGAGTCCAATGCATTCGAAATATGTTTCAAAACCCTCTTTTTCTGATTATCAAGACATTTTCCCGAATTATGTATCTCGTTTTTATCTATTTCAATTAGTAATTCCTTGATTTGATTGATATTATTAGAGATAAAAGGTGTTTTCAGATTGGCTTTAAGAGATGTTTGTATCGCTAGGTCATACAAAAATGATTCCACATTCAAAACAAAATCAATCACAACCGAATATGTAATTACGGGCCCTGGAGAATAAGACAATTTGAATAATGTGACTTTTTGCAAATCGATAATTTTGAACCTCTTTTCGGGCAACTGAAAAGACTCTAATACAACTAGAAATTCTTGAAATTCTGTGTAGCAAAATGATTTTTGGTAATTTTCGAATTCAGTTTTACTTTTGGTAAGTGCTTTTGCCAAATTTTTAGTCTCTAGTATCTCAAGTTTTGCAAACTCTTTTCGTCCGGCGATTGAGTTGACAATAACTGTCATTTGTTGTTGATGAATTAATTATTCACGAAATCCGATAGATTTAACGTGTGAATTAGACCGTGTAGTGAGTATAAGTGTTCAAGGTCGACGAAAAAATGTAAAATGCACCTAGGCGAAAAACTGTCTATTGGTACATAAATGTATATTTATGTACATTTTGTGTTGTGATAAGCATAGTAACAATGCCTCATAAATAATAGAAAAAATGGTTCTAAAATTCAAGAATTCAGTTTTTTGATGAAGATATATGGTTTTCATTTTCTCCTAGATGTTGACTACCAACGTGGATAGCGAGAGGAGAGTAGTCAAAGATTTTAAACCTTCCGAATATATAGTAAGAAAAATCTGTGAGTTATACAGGGTGTCTCAGGTTTAACTCGTCTAACTTTGACAATCGATAGTAAAAATTAAAATATTATATACGTATTTTCTTGTTTTGTCATGGAGAAACTTGTTTTCATTATACGGGGAGTTAAAGTTCGCATACATTTTTGGTTTTTATTTTTTATCCTTGTTGAAACGAAACCTAGCGATTTGAAATTTGGTGAGCATTTTTCTATCGGCAATATGAACAGGGGACTGAGCTACACTGGGTGTCATTTTTTTTTTCATATCCACTGATATGGAACCCTATAGATTTTTTACATTGTGACGCTTATACCGCTCCATTTGTGTTGATATCTTTCTATGTATTTAGACCTGAATGTTACCAATCGAGTATGATGCGGCCGAGGATGCGCCTGATATGATTTGCTCATAACTCGGGAACTGAGAGAGATATGGAAACAATTGAAAAACACAAAGTGAGGTGAAGAAATTATAACGATTTTTCATTAGGTTCAATCCATTACACCCAGTCCCTTATATTGATAAGGACTGTTCATATTGCCGATAGAAAAGTGATCACATACTTTCAGATTGCTAGGTTTTGTTTCCACTGAGATAAACAATTTAAGCAAAAATGTATCTGAACTTTAACACCCCGTATAATGAAAACAAGTTTCTCCACGACAACTATCAATTGTCAAAGTTAGACGAGTTAAACTTGAGACATACTCTATTTTTGTCGAGTTAGTATTTTCATATTGATAAAGTTAATTTTCGATTAAAAACTTTTATCAAAACACAGTCTACGACCATATATCCATGTCTTAAACGAAACCATGTATCAAAATAATTCATCATTAATTCTGTTACCTTGCGATAGGGTGATTCTTGTTTGCGATTTGTTGCTTTGGAATTTAGTTTTTTTCGTAATGAATCGAATGGACTACGGCAAAGGGCTCAGTTGACGACTGATATCCTCCTAGAACTAGAAACCCATCAAAAAACCAACAAAATCGAATCAAAAAATGATTCAATCCTCAAATTGGGTCGCGTTTTATCATCTGGATTCTCTACTTAAAGCACGGCAGCGGGCCTTGATGAAACGTATCGGGTATCGGTGGTAACGGACATACACATTTTATTTGAATTGATTTCCCACTCCCACATTTCTTCACCAACCATTATAATTGAAATTTCAACGAAAATATGAATGGAAATGCAATATGAATAACTCATTAAAAAAATGCCAGAAGCAAGTTGATTTATGAAACCAATTTCTATCAATTTTTTCCTGGTGATTTTCTATGCCCAACTTCTATAATCACTTCTTAAACACTATTCAACTGCCTAGATACATATTAAAATATTTCTCCTACTTACGTATGAATGGTGGCGAATGTATATAGCACTATGTGATTTGTGCTTTTCAGTCTTTTGAATGCTTAACTGCTCATCTTATCAAGGAGAGGATTCAAGACCAAATACTTGATAATAATAACTTAAGTTCAATGGGAAGTTAGATCGTTTTGTATCGATCTCACTCAATTGTTTATCAACACAAATTGTCGTATATTGGAACAACACTATTTTTTTGGTCTAGCTTCATATATCTTATTAAACTAAATAGATTACCAAACTACACATATATATGTAGAACTTATAATGAATTTATGTAAAAAACACACAGAAACAAATATTCGGATCAAAAAATTCCGAAGAAGAACAAACTACTCTTGTTACAATTCTCATTTCAATTACTAGGGTCTTCCACTCGACATTTATAAAAAAATCATTCATAAGACTAGTGCTCCATTTGAGAAGAAAAACTGCAGATGACGTAAAACTTCGAGTTAAACATAAGACAGCTTTCGAAGCGCCCCTCTATAGACAAAAATCTAATTAAATTCAACTCATATTTCAACAAAAAATTAGGCGTTTCAACTTAGTGACCCAACCGTGTAAACAAAAAATTTCAAAGGACTCAGAAGAATACACAACAGTTGATGAATATTTTCATCAATAATTGCAAAGTGAAGAGCAATTGAAGAAGTAACATAGGTACTAAGTGCTATAAATTCCTGAATTGAGGGGTTGAGAAAGGTGAATCAGTCAATCAGGTGTATTGTTGAATTGTTAGTCACGCTTGTGCATAATATTACTTTTTTCTTCAACATCTTGAAACTTTATCTGTGGCACCTTTGTTACTTCCACTATTCAATTACTTTTCCTAAAAGCTCCGGTATTCGTATATTTTGTCAATTTTTCATAGAATATCAGAAGAAACAAAATATATTTGAACTATTTTCCGAATATTGAAAAGGAATATTCTCAGATATATTATGAACATAAAAAATGGATGTATATAAAGAAATATATTGAAAATTCGCATTCTCTATGTGATGGAAATATTAATGCTTCCTCGGTATATTATTGAACACACACGGTGAGAATATTCCTTATCAATACTTTCATACCCAATCAAGGGGTTCAAACTTGAACGATGAAATCTTGTTATTTCATAGACCTCTAATCGCAGATTCGCGATTGAGTTTCCTCAATTCAGAATTCCTTTCCAAGTCCTGTATAATGAATATCAATTTGTCATCGAAAAATATATTTCCCGTTGAAGCTGTCAGGATGAGACAACCCAGTGACCTTGATTTCTGGAATCGTTTAGATTGGTTGGCTACTGGCTAAAACCTACATATCGGACTTGAGATCAAACAAAAAATACAATCATCAACAGTTTTTCGTTAACCGAGACTATACATTTGATGGAAATGTGACGATAGTGGAGCCCCGTAATTGAAATCATAAAAATAGAGAGCTATGTAGTCACAGTCATGGTTGAATCCTGTGCTGGAATTAAAAGTACAAAAAGGGCCTAATCGACCGGCAGGTAGTGACAGTTTTTTGGACGTGATTTAACCCAGTATGCGTTTTGGAGGGTTTCATTATGTATCTATTTTGATGTTAAAAAATGATATACCGGGTGACAAAGGAGACATGTAACAGCCTGTAGTTTTTTTATTTGAAGATATAGAAATTTGAAATTCACTAGGGTTATATTATATCCCTTTAACCCAATGACAATTTTCTTCAACCACCTGTTTGATTGGAAGTTGACCCAACTTTTTTTTTCAAATAGCATCCTGTATATTTCACAATTTGATATTCGTTCATTAATTGGCTGTTAAATTGCATCGTATTGAAATACATGAAGGTGGCTGTGGCCCGAATACAATGACATTTCGATGCTTGATAGTCTTAGAAATCCAAAGATCGATACTTAGACGATATTATCAGAATATTTTCCATACCCTAATCGGTCCCAGAAGATTACCAATAATTTCATTGAGTTGAGATATTGAGAAAATCAAGATAGAAACATAGTTTTCTTCATTCGGCTACTTGTGAAGAAACTAGTTGCCTTTCATTTTTGCCATAGCCATAATATGATCATCCATTTGGATACATGAAACTGAAATTGTTGTAATGATTGATGTATCGTCCAAATACATCTGTTCATAAGTCTAAATTAGTGTATTTTCAGTATCATTTCGCTTATCAAATTGTGATACATAGTTGAATAGAGAATTTTGAGGCGAATAAGAAAGGCTACAGAAATATACAGGATGCCATTTAAAAAAAAAAGTTGGGTCTACTTCCGATCAAACAGGTGGTTGAAGAAAATTTTCATTGGTCTCAAGGAAAGCGCCATCATCGATAATATAACCCTAGTGAATTTCAAATTATGAAAGAATCCTCCCGGGTTCTTCATGCATTTAGGCATGTTTTCAAGCTGTGTACTTGGCATGCGCAAACTGTATTTTTTTTTCGTAGCATATGTATAGCACAATAATGTATACTTTAATGTTAATTACCTTCAATACAAGAAGAACGCTGGCGGATCGAGGATCCTTTCATATATCATTTTCAACATCAAAATATATACATAATGATACCCTCCAAAACGCATACTGGATGGAATCACTTCTAAAAATCTGTCACTACCTGCCGGTCTAAAGATCAAAATATGCAATGATAACGACACTGCATTTTTATCTTGTTCTATTATCGATTACCACCAATTATGGTTCTTGAGTGAACTCTTAACAATGTCTAGGTGTATATACGTGTCTGACTGAATGGCTGGAATGAGTGTGTCAGGATTACTAAACTACTTCAAGGACCGAAAATTTCAACATATTCTGCGACAAGAAATGTCTTCTCGGATATTCTGTAGGTTAAAAATAAGGAAAATAGCATGGCACTTGTCTATGTTGAATATTATCCAGATAAGGCTCGTTTTTAATTACAGCTTAAAAATACTGCACAGTTTACCGTGACGTCACTAACAAAATATCGATGAGTCTTTCCTTTGGTGCTGTTCGATCATTAGCCAAAGATCTAATATAATAACTTAATAGATGAGCCCTTGCCTCACCGTCCTGTACAGAGCATTGAGATTGGTAATCAATTTTCCTTTGGTCACGAGATTATTGCTCGTTATCTCTCTTATTTGTTGTTTCCATTGATTGGTTCCCTTTATCTTTCTCTAGGAGTACCTCTTCTATTTGCAATCTCAACAAGTTGAAATGAATCGCCTTGTTGTCACCTGAGCGAGGGTGCGAAATTCTTTATGGTTCACAGTTATGTTGTTTTCATTTCAATGTAGAGTATATATCATTAGATCTTATTCATTTCCCATAACCTCAAATCTGCTGTTTTGAAGGACTGCATACATTTTTTTTCAACATTCTTTCAATCCCCTGCCTACTTTTTTCGACATGGATTGGATGATGGGAGAACCTTATTTGTTCGAACTTTTCTTGAAATACAACCTGAGACTTTTTCCAGAGTTCCAGAGACAGTTTCACTGACATCTCAGATATATAATTCAACATGATATGAAGGAGAGCCTACGTGGAAAAATTCAGTTCTTCAGAAAGTTTGATACCATTTCATTCGATCCTTTCTGGATTGTTCAGCGCAGTACTTTCGACTCAATTTATCACTGTCCTGAAATTTCACCTTATTGCCATTCTATTCTTCGCTTTCATGGTTCTCTTTGAGGAAACCAACACATTATTTCCATCAGCACTCCATCTAATTAATTGTAGGTCCTTTCTCTCTACTTTTGATATATTGACTGTTCAGCAATATCCCTTATTGTATCCAGAATATGGATGAAAGCTACACCTTTATTGAGTTTTCCTATTTTGGCACTCATTTCGCTATTGATCCCTTATCATGGTCATTTGTTCTTATGTGGACTTAACGACTTCAGAGATCTTATCCCTTTGTATATAGAAAATGAATCATGTCTCCAACACCTATTTGTTTTGGAGGACTGAATAACGTCTGAACATTTCCATATGTTCAATATCTCCATTTATGGAAACCTAAAGTTAGGAAACATATTGATCCTCAGTTATGTAAAGACCATAACAATTCAGGAAAACACTTCAGAGAGCAGCAGCAGTGCAGCATCAGCAGATAGTAGATTGAATATAAAAGTATGATCCAGTCGTCTGGATTTGAGCAAAATGATTTTATAAAAACCCGTTGAAGGACTTACAACTACATTTTGGTAAAACGTTTCGATTTATGAGCATGACAAATCGCTGTAATTAAAAACGTGCCCAAATTATTATTGAATATTGCATTGATGAGAAGAAGTCGCAAAGTTAACCTAAAAATTATTGCCGGACAATAAGAATGGCAACACCGAGGTAACAATGTCATCCTAGAACATCACTTGGCAGAATAATGAATAAACTTTCACCCTCTAATATTAGAATAAGCTTATATATCAAGGCGGTTCATCATAAACATATATGAATTCCTGAACCTATCCATGAATTTATACTTCTTGGTTGCCAAGAACTTCTTGATGGTCCCTTTCTCCGTATCGTTGGCGTTCAAATGGACACCGATAACTTCGATACTGATACGTTCAAAGGGAATTGTCTCAAGTACCTGCAATTTGAAAGCAATAAATCACCTGCCATATTTTTGCATTTGTATTTTTCAACTCCATCCTGGGGTCAAGATCGAGTCATAGTCTCACATAGATGAGTATCATAAGATTTTCACAAAAGCTAGGTTCACAATAAGTTGACCAGTAAATTTTCTTCTGAATGTATTGCACACTGAAACATATAACCTAATTAACCAATTACCCAGATTAGCTGCCGAGGTAGGTTTGAAAACGAAGTGGTTAATGCTTAGGGACGTTCTTTTATTCAACGGTGGCTCCATCAATCCACCAACTGCGTTCATATATTCTTTGGTGGATTCCAGTTTGACGTAACCACGCGTTCATTTATTACTGTTGTGTTAACCAAAATTGCAAACCATTCCACCGATGTACAGAGATGGTGGACGAATTTTGGTGGCTTTCGAAATGACAGCGACAGAATAACCTCAAAAAACTAAAAACTGAATATTGGATTTGAAAGCTGTTTGCCATTTGCCTAAGAAAAAATATGGATGAATTAATCGAAATCAGTGGAGAATATGAAAATAAAAGAATAGCTGCATTATTGACACCAACAGAAATTTAAGAAATTTCGAGTGGTAGGTACTTTTTTCTTCTATCGTGAATTTCAAGAAATTAGTGCAAACATTCATGAAACTTGAGTACCAACAGAGAACTCTTATTAATGACTATCCATATCATCATAATTGAATGCAATGTTTTGTATATAGGTTGTTGAGACTTTTTAACGTATCGTCTACGCCACAATATTTTATCCTCAGAACTATCAGAAGAATTTTCTTATTTATTATTCGTTTTATTGCAAACCCAACTATAAAAAAATAATTTGGGAATAATTGAATAGTGACAGCACATTGCTGTAGAATCTGTTCCGAATTTCAGCACAATCAATCGCACCGTGGATACTGAATTATTTGGAAGCAGCAGAATTTCAATAGTCTCAGTGGCACTACTGACCCCTGATTTATAGATTCAATAACATAACATGACGTAACGAAAGTACCTCCGTTCCACGATAGAAGATGAAACATAAACATTTTTCAGTACTATTTATAGAATGTCGTTCCGCAAAACACTGATCGTGGCTGCAATGAGAGAGATGCCCATTTCCATCTTTCTATGTTCGCGTTGTGGAACGGTGACAGAACGTCATGCAGAAGGGATGTTGATTTAATTGTTTGATTTACATTAGGAGCTCACACAAACCGCTCTAAACATAATTGACAAGTGGTGTAAAGAGGAGGAACTCACCGTGAACCCTCATAAAACCTCTATAGTGAATTTCACGAAAAAGAGAGTACTGGAAGGATTAAAGCCACCAGTACTCAATGGGGTAGAAATTCCGTTCGCCCTAGAGGCAAAATACTTAGGAGTGATCTTTGACCATAAGTTAACATGGAATCAACACCTACAAAAAATTGCTCAAAAAAGTACAGTAGCCTTCAATCTGTGAAGACGAATGTGCGGAAAAAATTGAGGACTGCAACCAAAAATGACCAGCGTCATCAGACCTATGATAGCATAGTCAGTAGTTAGGTGGCCAAAGACACAACAGGCTGGAGTGATTCGAAGGCTCAGTGCTATTCAAAGGCAAGCTTGCCTGAGTGCCACTGGTGCGATGAAAACCACTCCAACAGCCGATTTAGAGGTCCTCTTGAACCTGCCACCACTACAAATATATATCCATGGCGAAGCCAGAGCAGCAGTCGTGAGTAGATTGTCAAGGGGTCAAGCACCCATAAGCAACGCGCACGGTAAAGACTATAGAAAGCTATATAAAGAGTTGAAAACCGGCCCCATCATGGGAATGCCAACTGATGGCATAATTCCAAAATATAGCTATGAAAGAACTTTCAAGATGAGTATGACGGACAGAGAGGCATGGAAGGAAGGACCTCCTATCAATGCAGACATTGCTGTCTATACGGACGGCTCCAAAACTGAGCAAGGATCAGGAGCTGATATTTATGGGGTCAAGCCAAAGATAAGAATCTCACTGAGCTTAGGTAAATATGCGACGGTGTTTCAGGCAGAAGTTATTGCAATACATCATTGCGTGAAAGAATTGATAAGGCAAGAGTTTAAAGGCAAAACCATTGCAATCTATTCAGATAGCCAGGCGGCCATCAAAGCAGTGAAATCAATGCAAGTTAACTCAAAACTAGTATGGGACTTCATAGAAACCCTACATGAACTGGGCAGTCAGAACAGACTGACTCTAGCATGGGTACCAGCACATACAGGGTACGAGGGCAATGAAGAGGCAGAGTCACTTGCCCGAGCAGGAGCAAACAAAGCTCTGAATGGCCCAGAACCCTGTGGTATTGCGAAAGCTATACAAAAGACTAGTATCAAATCATGAATGCAAACCAAATATCAAAAATGGTGAAACAACTCGCCAGGTATGACACAGGCGAAAGAGTTTATTATAAACCATCGCCAACATTCACAGAATATCTACTGAGCCAGAAACGAAGTTCAACTAGAATACTAGTGGGACTCCTCACAGGACATTGTAGGCTCAACAAACACATGAGTATGATAGGTCTGACTGAAGAACTGCTGTGCAGGTTCTGTCAGGAAGAAGAGGAAACAGCAGTACACATACTTTGCCACTGTGAGGGCTTGTCAAGACTAAGGTTCCTTACGAGCCCAAAGATACACAGGAGATCTGAAAGCTAGCCTATGGAGTCTAATAGAGAAGGCGGGGCTAGCCGAAGAACTCTAATCGATTTTGAGGGCAGACACGATAGATCTGAAAAGGTCGCGGTGTGGAGGCAGATAGCCCGAAGGCCCCATTCTCAATCTAATCTAATCTACATTAGGACATGATTAATGATATTATATAATTGTTCTACATACCATATTGATTAAGGAGTCCTGAGAAGCCTCATCGAGAATAATATTTCATTTTATATAAGTCAAACAGGTATTACAAAAATAACAATGCAATCAATTGAGGAGACTAGTTGGAAGAAGGAGATTGCACGGATATTATACGGATTATAAATATATCTGGTAACCTCAATTTATTCATTCATGGTTAATGAAGTAATTGATGCAGACAGTTCTTCAGGGGAGATCATGTAACAAATAGGTATGTTGCTTTTTGGTGTGTGGTAGGTATTAAATTTGCGATTTGCGAAACTTCCTATTGTTGTCGCACATAACAGAACTCCAGCTGTAGAATAGAATAGAATAGCATTTACTTACTCCATAAAATACCCTGTACTGGGTGTTGAGCTCGTCAAAAATATATAATACAAAGATTCATACAAAAATACATATATACATACATACTACATAATCATGTTTATCATTCATTGGTAGAATTGGAATAGCTTGACCAGTTTGATCCTCGTGCTTTGAAACAATGCTAATTCCATAAATGATGCTTGATCTTGATAGTCGGAACAAAAATAATAATAATACAAATTCATATGACAAGATTGGCGAGGGTCAAATTCGGGAAAATCTGCCAACTTTATTTCATCGTCTTACGGTACTGCTTGCGGAAGGAACATTGATTATAACAATTAAGGTGGGTAAGGGTATCTATAAATCGGGAGTGACACTGCCAACAGATTAAAGCGGCGTTCACAATCAAACTTTTTACGTTTTGCTTTTTACGTTACATATTCTGATTGGTGAAGCAAAATCTGGAATCAAAATGACGCAAAAAGCTGAATATATTCAGCTATTTGCTTTGCAAGATGCCATGATCATCTGTGAAAATAGTGAAAATAGACAAATACTGAATACTTGTGAATTCAGGAAATATTAGATAATGTCCAATTTTCTATAATGATTCTCATACCTCTTATTGATGGTCTAACCAACACAATATTTCTTTTATGCAGGATTGATTTTTTTCTTCAATCATAGAATAAGGATCAATTTACGTCTCTGCCAGTTCTCGTGAGAAAAAAATCATTATTTAGTTATTATTATTGTCATGATTATTTCACTTTATTTTAGGTTGAAGCACAGTGATAAAACCGAGGAAAGTAAGAGAAGCAGTGAAAACTCACATTAACGTTTTTTTTGTTGAGAACGACTTTTGCTTCAGTTTAATTCACGTTCAATTTATGATTCTGCTTCACCAATCAGAATACGAAACGTAAAAAGCAAAACGAAAGAAGTTTGGTTGTGAACGCAGCTCGATTCGGAACCAAAAGTCTTTTACATACCTGCAGTTCGGTGCCGCCCGTTTCCAAACTGAAATAATCGATGTCGGTGACGTTCATGGCCAACGCGAGCGAATAGAACGGGAAACACTTGACCCGCGTGTTGAACCAATCGCTGTCGTCCAACAGCCCGTTGATGCGCACGCCCTCTTCCGGCTCCTGGTGCAGCGTGATCTCCTTGGGGTAGGGCGTAGGGCTGAGGCAGGCGTGGACAGCCTGGCAATGACGTTGATATTATTATTATTATTATTATTATTAACTCCGAAATAGCCACAATGCTCAAAGTGGAATGAAAGGTTAAAATGAACAACAACGGTAGATGACGAGAGAAAAACAACCACTTTCCTGGCTAATGCCACGTAGAACATTGAATTACATACACCCGAAATCTATGCATTGATACGTATGAACGAATACTAATGCAATAGAAATGTTCTTTCTTTCTCGAGCAGAAGCGTTTTCAGGTGAGAAATTTAATCTCAAAAAACAGATTCTAATATTTAACATGCAATGGGCTTTTTTAAAATAGAATCATCACTCAATAACCTTTCAATTCCATATTTTTTAAAAGTTCTTTTCGGTCGATTTCGAGGTGCTAAAATCATCAATTTGTCGAAGTAAACTTGACATGTATCTTTTGGGTGTATGATAAATTGACATTCATCATACAGGGCGTGGAAAGAAATTCTGAATTGAGACTCTATCACGAATCTGCGATTAGAGGTCTATAAAAATCAAGTTTCCATCGTTCAAGTTTGAACCCCCTGATTGGGTATGAAAGTGTTGAAAAGGAATATTCTCAGATAAATTATGAACATACAAAAATGGATATATATTTAAATGAAGCTGAATATATTGGTAAGTTATATTATACATCATATTATTCATCCGATTTGAAGAAGAATGTCAATTCTCAATTTCTGAGGATTTTATTTTTTATTTTTCATGTTCTCCTTTTGAATGTTCATCAGATATAATTCAATGTTCGACGTGGCAAATAGCCAGGAAAGTAGTTGTTTTCTGTTGAATATTCAGAATGATGTGTGCATATACATATTTTTGTCTTCTTAAGGAGAATGCAAATTCTCAATTTCAGAAGTTTTTATATTTTATTTTCAAACTCTTACCGTGTGTGTTAAATAAATATAATTCAATGTTCGTCGTGGCATATAGCCAGGAAAGTAGTTGTTTTCTATTGAATTAACTGAAAAAGAGTAGATATTCTCATCACATAGAGAATGTGAATTCTCAATGTATTACTTCATTTAAATATATATCCATTTTTGTATGTTCATAATTTATCTGAGAATATTCCTTTTCAACATTGACATGTATCAATAAGAATTTTGTTGCCTGGCAATTTGACGAAAAAAACTGTCTAAAAAAATGGGCTTATATCACAAAAAAAATGTATTTCATGAGCGAGCGCCCTACGTTTTATAAAAAATTATTGAAATCCCCGATTTATCGGACCGCTGAGAACGAGGCGATGATGTGACGTCGAAACCCTTATACTGAAACAAGACTTTTCCAGACAGAGATGAATGATACATGATTTCTGACAGAATGAATTAGCGCGAGATCACAGTTGAAAGAATTAATATATCAGTTGCCTCAGTCTCCGTCGGGCGATTGGTATTTTCTTTTAACTATGGCGAGATGAGGTTTATTTATGCCCAAAAATAAAATATTCCAACTAATTTTTCGATCGAATTATGTCGTCAATCATTATTTATGAATAAAAGGATCATTATAAACATGGTTTGAGTTCAAAGTTCTACTAAGGTGTACACGCCCATTACGAGTCCGAAGGACGAGTAATTTTTTCTGGCAGTTTTTTGAGTTGAATTACCTAATGGCAACAAAATTCGAATTATACATGCCAAGTTTACTTCGACTAAAAAAAAGCTAGTGTAATTCAAACATTTGTTTATGACAAAATCACGCGGCTTGTGGGATTTTTCATACATGAATTAGATTGTCACGGTAATTTTCAAACGACTAGAAATAGACCACAAATAAAAATGGAAGTCACGATTTTGTAAGTAGTGCTAAGTCTATATAGCCAATATTTACATGATGTTTTGTTATCGAGTATAAGTAGTATTTTGACAAGCTCAGTAAGCTGGTTGCTTGAAAAATTCACAAATGAATAACTATAATATCATGGCTTCCTTCTATTATGTCAAATGAAATATTTCATTTGGATGTAGTTTTATTCAACAATAGGGCTCTGACAACTTTTTGATTACTTGATTATAATTGGTAAGCTGACACAACCTTGCTTTATGAGTAGGAATGGAAGATTATCTGACCAATAATGAAACAGCATAAGAACTGACGTCACCATATATCCGACGTGTCCAAGAACATGACCAAATGGCGGCCACGAGCTTTGAAATTCAACAATTTCAAACAAGGCATAGACCGTTACCACCGATACAACAAGGCCAGCAGACTCTGACGTAAACAGCTCGTGACGTCACCAAGAGAGGCCAGTGTTTTATTTTATCGCTTGTCGACTAACGCGTCAGTTCGTGTTAATTCATCAGTGATTCACGTATGTTTTTGAAACGGTCCCGAATTCTTTTGTTGTTTATTCATCAAAATAATTGACAGAAAAATTACTGTTTTGTGAAATATTTTGTGTTGTGATCGGCGAAATAACAATGCCTTTCAAGTGTTGTGTTCCCTTTTGTCGGGGAAATTATGTGGGTGGTTCAAAAGTTCATGCTTTTAGTTTCCCGTTGGACGAGGAGCTATCGAAAATGTGGGCAATTCACCGCGAGGATTTTACTCCATCTAAGTTCAGTAGTAAACAGAGCTTAATTTATAATGATGAATTAATAATAGAAGACAATTACTCTCTCATAAAAAGTATAAGTAGAGGAAAAATAGAAAAGCTTTGATTGTGCAGTTAGTTTTGTATTCGTATATTATAGTCAACAAAATCATCTCTGAATTCGAGGAAATATTCTTGAATGTTCATAATAAACGGGCATTTTTAATTCTCATTCTCAAATTTCATTCTGAAAACGGTCATTTGCCTTCATTGCATTCATTCCAATGATCAAATTGCAACTATCATATCAACATGAACTACAAACACTCTACTTAAAAAGGTAAAACTGCATTTATCATGATATTTATCATGAAGATATTTGACTAAAAAGTTCCAAATTTAACCTTCTTTTTCACCTGTCTTCTGGATGGCATTTAGAATAAATTTCCCTTCTTTTTTCATCATATTGGACAATTCATATATAATTCAACTATAAATATGATTTTCTTGAGATTAATCCATATTTAGTGAAAAGAAGGAAGAATATCATTCAAAATAATGGCGTGTGTAATGTCATTCGAATGCAATTGACATCTCGTATTTTGATTGACTATTGATTAAATGGTCGTCATCTGGAATGCTTGTTCACTAAATATCAAAAACTCGAATGCCAATTATTCTCTACCAGTCCAGTAGCCCATCATGATAAAATAGGTAACCTGGTGCGCACGCCATGAAATTATGGATGCACACAATACGGAACAGGGTAACGAATATCAAAAGTGCCGCAAATGCGTGAGAATACTGGATATTTAAGCATTCTACTCAGCGTTGGGGATGCTATCACAATGAAGGCTCAGATTGTCCCTCTCACTAGTTGGCGCTACTAAAACATGAGGTCAATGTCAAAGTCGAAAATCCCAAAATTTTGCCAGACAGCCCTAAAAGTTATAGCCTGTTTTATCGAAAATATTCGAAAAAAATGATATTTGAAAAAATAGAAAACCGCACGAAAGACATGAGCCGTCTTAAGTTTTTTAACTCTCAATGTGGATCTTTACGACCAATTCTTACATTGACGAATGATGGAAATAAGTAGATGGTGCGCGATTCTACATTTTTCCGCTAGATGGTGATGCTGTATTTTGCTGCTGTGACGAGTGGAAATAAAATGGCAAATGGCATTTTAGGTACGAGGAACATATGAATTCGAAAAATCTGCGGCAATCTAAAAATTGACAGATGTCATAATAATTGTGCAATGTCGCCATCTATCCGAAAACCGCTGAAAACATTGTTCTCGGGACTCTCGAGAGGTCAAGAAGAATTTCTGAAACAAAAGCGCATCAGTAAATACACCATACTTATTTCCATCATTCATTGACGGAGAAGACCAAGTTATTTATTTCGTTCATTTTTTCGTTACATAGTAGTTATTGAGTGTTTATATTGTTCCCAAACTACCCAAATAAAGTTTCATTTTCAATATTCCTATATTTTTTCATCACTTGTCGAATCTAGTACGATCTATTACAATTTCGTACTAAATAGATTTTAGTACGAAAGATCGCTACTAGAAACCCAACGCTGATTCTACTGTGACCCTACCTGGCAGCGCTTGCGGTTGTGCCTGCGCAGATTGAAGTAGTGGCGCGGGTCCGGCTGGATCAAGAGACCCCTCCAGGAGAACTTCTCTTCCAGCCACTCCGTCTTGGAGGTTTTGCCGTCGTCGTAGGCGCCTGCCTCCACGAACACGCCGTACGTCTGATGATCAGGGTGATTCGTTAATGTTGTGCGAAAAATCAAGGAGATTTCTTGGGTCAATATGGTATAATAGGTTGTGGAGGAGCCCGACATTCCTTCGTAGAAGCTCGAATAGTCCTCCAAAAAATACTACTGACAATAATGTATTTTAAGCCTCTCACATATTCATCTGATAATCTTGTTTATGAACTGAAACTATTAGATGTTAGACAGAGGACCCCGCACCGCTCTTATGGGTTTTTGGGCCTCGGTCGAATCGGATGGAATTATAGTATGTTGTAGTTTGTTATATCATGAATTTTCGTATATCAAATAGGAAAAACACACTATCCGTGTTGAGAATTCAAGTTCATTGAATAAACGAAGAAATCGAGTATACAGGGTGGCCCCCTCAGCCGAAGCTCCCTTAGGGGACATTTCTCGACTCATGTTAATTGAAACTTTTCTTCCTATTTTTGGTCTCAGAAGCCGCTGGTGGAGTTTGGCAGGTTAATTTTGGGACACCCTGTATAAAGTATTTTCACTTAGGTTATTAGGGCCTTCAAGATATGTGGTTTACCTGAATATGCTGATATTTGTATTCTTCGTATTACAAATCGACGTGTTCCAGCATTTTTGTACAATATTATAATTTTATCGAATTTTCAGGGCAGATTGTTTCCAAATGAACACAGTGTATATTGTTAATCTGCCAAGGAGGCCGAGTTGACAATGACATAGTGACCGATTGATTGTTTTCAAAAAATTGACATTTTATTCAAAATAGTCTGTCAATTCTTGCATGTATTGTACTGTTATATTCGTTGTCATTGATTCTTCAATTTTTGTGAGGAATATCTTCTGATTGGATCGATTTTTCTCAGTTCTCAAAGTTGAATAATGAATATGGCTTGTAGAATCCGTATACGTTGTTACATTTGTGAAAAATCTTTTATTATAGCATTACTCATTCAAAGAGCTTCATGTATTCTGTTCAATAAACTGATCAATATAAGTTATATCAACTTTTTTATATTAAATGAAATATTGTCAAGATTCTTGATGGCATCCTGTAATCGACATTTCAATTATTTGGAGTAGGTATGTACCACATGAGCTGAAGCTTGCAGTTTGGACTTCAACTAATTCACATAATATCTGCCCTTTACTACTCATAAGAAATGATACATTTGATGGGTTGTAGCTCGATAATAGTATATTATGTAACAAGTGTTATAAACGTCCTTTTAGTAACGAGTATTTTAAGCACGAGCGGAGCAGAGCGGAGCGAGTGTTTAATAAACGAGTGTCTAGAAGAGTTTATAAACGCGTTACATACTATGATTTTTCTACGAACTCCGAAAATTACATTAACATACCTGCAATTCCTGCTAACCTACAAATCAATTCGAATGGAATGGGAATTGGGAACATAATACATGCAACTGCATGCAACCAGCGAGACACGTATAAGTGATATTGGTTGTAGATGTGTCCAGTCCATTGCTTACTAACCTTTGTTTCACGTTTATTGTCATGCTTAGCGCAGAATGAATAAATTGTTCTCAAAGATGGATGCTTCATTTTCACACTTCTTGGAGATATGCAAGTACCAGAACATTCTTTTCGATTTCACTTTCTTTTACTTTTCGCATATATTTTTAATGAAGAATTCTGATACAAACGAATATTGTTTGAATAATTCTGATACAAAATTTGAAAATAACAGTTGACAGTTAATACAATTGACAGGCCAGATATGTCTCAAATTACCGAAGCTGTGTTTAATGAACTGCGTTGCCATGGTAATGTGTTTAAGAAATCGTGTTGCCATGGTAACGTGTTTAATATTTCGAATAAATCACAGATCGGCAATCCGTGATTAATCGATCATTTAGCGTGGTACATATCCATACGCTAAATGCCATTTTAGTTATGTGAGTAGAAAAATACTAAAAGAATATAACACGAAATATTTTATGATACCACTGACGAATTATAAAATAAGGGGCATTCATATCACAAAAACATAAAATATCCAGAGCTAGAAAGTAAGATCTGAAGAATGTCTGATCAAGTAAGATGAAAAAGGAATTGATAAATCAAACTTGAAATATCAAGTATTGCATGAAACAAAATAGCACATAGCTTCGCTCATATAGTTAAATTATTAATTGAGTTTCATGAAATGGAAGTAACGCTTACGTCTATGTGCGATACCGCCCTGTATAGACGATTTCTTAATTTATTAAGTGAACTTCAATTCTCAGCACGGATAGTGTGTTTTTCCTATTTGACATACGAAAATTCATGATTATTACGAAACATAATCAATTTTCAAGATATTAGGCATCACCCTGTTATCAATATTTCAGTTGATGAAATTATTCTTCAAACAATCTTATTATCAAGGTTGAAATTCTATCAACAAGTCGTTTTTTGAAGCTCATAGGGCACAAATTCACTTAGATAAATATGTCTGTTCTACCACCCTCAAAGGGACACAATCCAACATTTGAATCGCTGTTGCTGGAAAACTAGTAATAGGATTGAGTTGGGCCCATGAGAGCATTTGATCAGGATATCACCAACTACAACATACTATAATTCTAGTCGATTTGACCGGTATGTATTTTGTATTTCAACGAAAATTCACATCCTGGTATATTTCGAAGAATTGTTCTTAAATCATTTAGTTGAGCATAGTGAAGTTGTTTAGATACACCAACTCCTCCATAGAAAACACCAATAGACGATGACATACGTCATTTTGACAGCGATAAAAACAGAGCATTATTTTTTATTAAATGCATTTATTTAACTTGCAATGCATGGATGTATGTTAGTTTGGGTGGAATCTTTGAACTCAATTTTGAAGTATACACGTTTAGTTTGGATGACAATGCACGATAATTGTGAAGGTTTTCAAAATCCAATATGGCGGACTAGTTATTTTTGATGCACTTCTACAACATGGGTATCAAATGAAATGGCTCGTTGGGAGTAACGTGAAAAATAATGTGACGTCATTCTGAATTCAATATGGCGAACTATCCAAGAAGGCGGAATAGTTATTTTTAATGCACTTCTACAATATGGGTATCAAATGAAAATGCTCCTTGGGAGTAACTCAAAAAATAATGTGACGTCATTCTGCATTCAATATGGCGGAATAGTTATTTTTGATGCACTTATTTATATATTCTTATTGATTCATATTGGCAAGAAACACTGGAACATCTGATTATTGGATTGATGTCCTTACATACTCAAATTTTCGGTCACCAGCAATTTTGTCTCGTGTCAGTTTTTCATTAGGAATGGAAAATTATCCAATAATAATGTTTTTACTGTTGATGAAAATAAGAAAATAAATTTTAGCAATAATTTTGAGTCTGAGCATAGCACTAGGCAACAAATTAGCTTAAGCCAGCACTGAATGTGATTATATGTCAATAAGGTATCTTCTAAATGTTAAACACTGGAAAGGACCAGGGAAAGGAACAGGAACAGCTTGGGTTTTGGCTCGGGTTTTAGAACATTCAAGGCCACTATAAAAATATTAAAATGTCCTGATGGTTACAAAGGTATTGCAGAGTAAGAATAAAATTCATAAACTTAAAATATCTTTGGTGATTTACATAGAAAACCATAGTCTTAGGTTCATGGGCACACCATTTGTTAGGAAGTTTTAAAATGAATAGCAACATGAATAGATTGAAGAGAAATCACAACTACAGAGGCAGACCATTTTATCTTCTGAAAAGATCCAAATTCAACCAATGAAAATCTGGTGGAAATGGCATACATTTGAAACAATTATATTGGTTGAGATGCAGTCAACAACTATTCTAAAGGGTCTTGAGGTAATATCCATAATCCACAAACATGTTTATGCATGTTTATGGCAATCATTTTATATTTCATGACCGGATATTTCAGGAATATTAAAAAACCCACCTTATTTTTCAACAGTTTCAATACATAAGAAGTATCTGGAGATACTTCATCTTTGGATTCCAAAGGTTTGTGATGCAATTCAATAGCAGGAGTCAGATGTACTTCCTTTATATACATCACCAATTGAGGGTTATCTTGAGATACCCCTAACAAATCATAATCCTGGCTCATATTCACTTTAAATTGGTAATGTCTCATAGCTGAAAGTGTGTAAAGGCAAAAATTAGTTCCTAAATTTGGGAATATACAGGGTGAACAACTAAGAACTGCTGTCGGCCATATCTCAACAATGAATAATGATACAATGAGCCCAAAATATAGCTGGAAATATTTTTAGGTTTCTAGTAAAGAGACAATTGAAATTTTCTCCATATTAAGTAGTAACAAGGTGAACTGAAAATATATGTAGTTTGATCCTTGATAAATTCCTAGTTTTTTTGTTTCACACTTTTTGTCCCACCTCAAAAAATTAAGTGGGGGGTAGTCAAATTATGTTTTTTCTAAACATCTGTAACTCTAGTTATCTTCAGCAGAATTCAACAATCTTTGGCTCATTTTAAAGGCCTCTTTTTATTCTATCAATTGTGATTTGAATTGGTGTCTTATTCATATCACTGTTGCCCACTAGGGTGTGATCTAGGGTATCAATGAATATGGTGATTAAACAAAATTAAATGTAATGGTATGCATATTATTTAATGATGAAATAGAGAAACTAAATCTCAATGACCAACAAAAACCTCAACATAATAGCTTTCCTCTAATGGAAGATATTAACAATCAAAGTTGGAAGAATGATTGATGATAGCCATTCTTAGTTGTTCACCCTGTACAGGCCAGGCAATTTCACAAGGAATTCCAAGGAAATCCAAGGACTTCCAAGTAAATCCAAGGAATTCCAAGGAAATCCAAGGAATTCCAAGGAAATCCAAGGAATTCCAAGTAAATCCAAAGAATTTCAAGAAAATCCTAGGAATTCCAAGAAAATCCAAGAAATTTCAAGGAAATCCAAAGAATTCCAATTGTTTGTAGACCAGAGTTATACTGCACTTCACCCAAGGAATTCCAAAGATATCCAGAGAATTCCAGTTGTTTGTACACCAGCAATCCACCATGGTTTGCCCCTCCTATACAGGGTTAATCCAAATACAAGTTCTCAATTTTTAAGTTTACAAACCATTATTATCCATGTAAACTATCAACACAGTCATGACAGTTGTGAAGGCCATGAAGAAGGCTGCAAGAGGCAAGAGTTTCCTAGTCATACCAGTTACAGGTTCAGTATCAGATTTTACTGGTGTTCCCATTTCAGAGTTGTATGACAATCCAGAAGAATTCTGGCACTGCCTAGATATTGTCATAATGGGTTTTTTGATATTCTGAAATAAAAAAGTATAAAACCCTTGATTATATAGTTGAATACTCAAAGATAAAACTGAATTCAACAAAAATCACAAAACCACTTCCTGTCCTTGTCATCAGTGCAGGGGTCAGAAAGTTGAGTTTTGTTCGATTTTACCACAGTGGAAAAAGGTGAACTTATTCACTAAAAGAATTTCAAAATTTCCCATGGTGGTAGTATGGGAACAATGAACTTGCAATGAACAATGCACAACCTAGGAATGCACCCATTTTGATGCACCTGTTGTTGAACAAGAAAATGAAAGTGAGGATTTGATACTTATTTATTATCATCAACTATATTTACCTGCATTCACAACAGCAACAGCTGAAAAGTATTTATTTGAAAACTAATACTAATTAATCGAATCAACAAAAATAAACAAAACCTTCACCAACAAAAAATGACCAACGACCCAACATTCCCAACAACCAACAACCAGTGTTGCCGTTTCAGAATTTCAATTTGTACTAGAAATCATTCCGAAATTGTGCTAAATTCAAGTATATTGTACTAAATTGAGAAAATATCACTTAAAAATTTACGATTCACACTTTTGATGAAATACTTCATATTCATGTATAATGCTTTAAAATAATAATATACAGCACATTGAAACTTATTATTACTAATGAAAGCCGAAAATGAGAGAAGAAAAGGGACATATCAGATTACAGATTGAGATCAAATACTATCATAATATCAATAAAATAAAATAGATGACTCAAACTTCAGAGTCGAATCAATTCATCATGAACAGCTCATTCCTACATTCGACAATATGCATTATATGGCGCATCGCCTATACCAGAGATCAGTCACCTGACTGATCTCTGCCTATACATCTCAACAAAAATGGGACCAAAAAGATTTTTCCCGTCGGCATCAATGCCTATTGGCCGATTTCGTTGCGTATATAGATACAGAAGTTGGTCCCGCGTCCCGCTTTGAGGACAGCTATGCTTATACAACACTTTCAAATTTTCCATCCTTCACTTTCCGTCCTTATAGATTCAAAATTTACCTCTCATTTTGGTCCCATTTTTGCTGAGATATCGTATAGGCAGAGATTAGTCAACCACATAGGCAATGCGCCATATATACAAATAGTAGATACATACTGATGGTCTGAAACGGCCGTGCTGTTGACAACAGCAACCCGAAAATCTCGGGTTGCTGTTGTAGAACTGCAACCTGAAAGCGCCTACAATGATCAACACACAAAAATATGTAGGATCACTCAAAATAACTATCAGAATAACAACATCAAGGCAGATTTTTCATAAATAAATTATACAAAATGAAGGAAAATGAAACAAAAAAAAAAAGAAAGTTAGGTTGAGCAGGGATTTGAACTCGGGATCTAAACTCACGCTCGTAGCTCACTTGGTTATCGTAGTTGTGCGAAATTAGGTACAAAATTTATTCAATATTCATACATGGTCAGCGAGCGGTCAACGTTATGCACAAGCAGAAGTCTCAAAGCGAAGTGGAAGTCGTGTCGCTAGCCGCTTTAAAGGCGCGTATTCACCTGAGCACGAACGGGAACGAGGCAAAGTGAGGCCGAACGAGCGTGCGTAGTGTGTACGTCACAACGAGGCGCGGAAAACGGTGCGGTGCGCGGTCCGAAGCAGTTCGAATGCCATCCGATCGGTGTCGGTACTTCAAAGAAAAATTTGAATATATGTGGACGGCATTGGTGCCGCCGCACGGGGTGGATCGCTGCCTCGTTCGTTGCCTCGGATGCTTCGTTTCGCCATCAACAAAAATACGAACGAGGCATTCGTTCGGCCTCACTTTGCCTCGTTCCCGTTCGTGCTCAGGTGAATACGCGCCTTAAGGCCAACCTGGTGACGACCGATGTGGCAACACTGGCAACAGTGGCAACACTGTGCTTACTGTTGTGCACAGGGAAAGTAGGCATGTTGTGTGGTTTGTTTTGTTTTTATCAGTGATTTTTTTAGATAAAAATGGATTTCAATTTTGATTTTCCCTCAATAATATTATTGTGTTTGTTGAATTCAATTCTTCAAACCACAGGTGAGATTGTATGCAAACAACGTTTAATTTGATTTATAAATCCTGAATGGGCGCGGTTGATATCTCTTGGTGTTGTGGTGTTGAGTCATCCCAGCAAACACATCTGTTATATTTACATCACTGTTATATAAAATCAACGGAACTTTTTTATATAGAATATTTACGTAAATATTCCATAATACTTCTGAAATATGTGAACCTCCTATTTATATAAAATATTTACGTAAATATTCCGTAACAATTCTGAAATATGTGAACCCCTTAATTATATAAAAATGTAACGTAACTATCATGTAAATGATATGTGACAATTTGATATCAATGTAAAAGCTTATATAATAGCTACATGACTTTACTAGGACTCTCGGCCGTAAATTCTCTGAAGACTTGATTCTGCGTCAATTAAGGATATTCGTTGGGATGATCAGTACCCGTGCACAGATCGTGGTCTTGCGCTGTAATGTTCCCCCACTGCGATGATTATTATTTTTCGCTCTCGCACTGTAGCGTTTCTCCGTGACCACTCTGAGGTTATAAGTAATGAGTGAAGACTTGGAGACTGAAAGCATTTTCAGTATTTTCTTACTATTCCGAGTGATTTTCTTGTTCCCACCAATTTTCTGCGCTGCAGTGGTCCCCCATCCCACATGCCCAATTCCCATTGGTCGACTTCTTTGAGGTTATGAGTTATAATTATAAGTGAAGAGTGTGAAGACGAGACCATAAACAAACTAAACTGAAGGCATTTTCGGTATTTTATAACTATTTCGAGTGTTTTTCTTGTTTTTACCTGCTGTGTTTGATGAATTAAACTAAACTAAAAGTGTTCATAAAAATAAGTGGAGGTGAGTGTGAATAAAACATGCCTTGAGATTTTCCTAACCTCTGTGAAAACAACAAGAAAGAAATAGTTACATATCTATCCTGGACCTCTTAAATATGCCTAGAATAAATGATGAATCTGGTAGGTATTGATAGAATCCGAGGTATAATCTGGTCAAACTCCAATTCACATATGAAATTGAACAAAAGCCAGTGATTGATTATGATGGCTGATGAAAACCCCAGTGAAAACCCCAAAGTGCCTCACATTCTGGATTAAATAAGTTATTATTATTGGTTATGGAAATGTAATCATTTTGTCAGTGATTATTATTTTCTGTTCCATAAATAAGTTCATGAAGAACCCCAATAAGATGAATCCTGAAATGTATACTTTTCCAGGTAGGTACATCTTTTCAAAACTCGAGGTGGTAGAGATGGGAGAGACTATCTATATAGGGGCCACACAATGTTCCTGGTAAGGGCAGAGGGGAAACATTGGAGTCAGAGATTTGAAATCAATCGAAATATCATTATCTGGGTAATATATATTTTAGATTTTAATTTGAAAAATGAAAAACAAAGCAATATTTTTTCAGACTCCATCATTATCACACACCCTTCGATATCTTACTCTGATAGATAAACCAGCAGGAAGGTGGTTCTGATTTAGTCACCAGAGGTTAAATGGAGGGTTGAATTGGGAGATCAAGAAGGAAGATATAATTTGATTACTCACAATTTTTTGAACTTTCGAAGTATACATAAATGGTCTCACTATTTTCAAAGAAAAATAAAGGTCATGTTTTTCATTTGATAGTTGATGTTGTTTTATCATCTTCTATTCAGGACATTCCATTTTATTCGATTTGAACATTATTCAGTCTATAATTTTTTGACAATTTTTTTGTTTTGAAGTTAGCATTTGATCAATTATACTGTGTACTATAATGCATAATATTTGGAACAGAAAGTCGTAAAAATTTTCGAGCAGAGTTTTTTTGTACATGAGGAGAATTGAAGTGAATACTGAATGATATAGGAGATAATAAACCATCAAGCATTTCATGACTAATCTGTCTCTGTTACATTTTCCCACACAATCAAAAATTGCCAAATAACTTCTTTTTCACACTAGCCCACTTCCAACTCTCATGCTCATTTCTATAACCATATATCATCATCAGTAATATCAGTATAAATATTATGGAGTGTAGAGTTTTGATCACCTACTGAGATGATTGTACTTATAGTTATCAATATGTGCATATGCCTGTGAAGTGAGTTAGTGAAGTGAAGAGGTTATTCGTGAAATTTCGATATTCATTTCGGATATTAGTCAAGTAGTTTCATCAATATTATATTGAAATGGAGTCATATTTGTAGCTGACATTTTTACATAAAAGGGATGTAAATTTAACATAACATCTAGAGAATGTTATGTAATATTTATGTCAGTTTGTTATATACGTAACATCTTATTTATAGCAATGAAATTATATAAAATATATATAAAATAGTGACATAATTGTTACGTAATAATCATGTAGTATTTGTGGCGGACATTTCGCCATAACAGTGATGTAAGTCTTACATAACATAGTTACATAACACGTATTGTCAGTTATGTAACACTTATGTCAATTTTACATAATTGTGTTTGCTGGGATGATACAAATTCGTTTATATTTAATATCTCCTTTGGTATTTTATTATCATATTATTCGAAATTTGAATTGATTGTGAATTCATGAATTCATAATAACTCCTTATTTCATTATTGATTTACTAATGTGAGAACATTTTATTATTTTCTGTCATAGAAGTCAGATGTTTTCATAAGTCTAGACCACGGTCCAGACTGAGGTCCAGACATAAGCATGATATTGGTCATCAAACTACATTTACCTTCATAATATGGGAATGGAAATACTTGAAGCTATTTTAGTATACTCATTTCTGTACTCAGTCCCTTATTCCTGTAGGTGCTAGTAGAAACAATATTTTTCCATTGTCCCATCAATTCTTATTTTCCAAGTTTTCACATTCAACTCCAACAGTCTATTTTTCAGTCATAAATTTGGTAAGCCAATCATTAAGCCTTTGATATTTTGGTAAAACTGCATTTAGCATGCGATGGGTTTTTTTATGAAAATTTTTTTTGGTACTTACGTATTTTTGTCTGAAAAACACGAATTTGATAATGAAAATGTGAACAAACCATTATTTATCAAGATATTTCACTATAAAGTTTCAAATTTCACCTTCTTTTCCGCCTGTCTTCTGGATTGAATTTTAAACAATTCACCCTTCTTTTTTCATCATTGGACAATTTATATATATCACAATGTAAGACACATTTTTTTCTATTATTGAGTCAACTAGAAATATGATTTTCTTGTGATTTATCCATATTCATTGAAAAGAAGGAAGAATATCATTTGAAATAATGGCGTGTGTAATGTCATTCCAAAGCAATCTATTGACATTTGACATCTCGTATTTGGATTGCCTATGGATAAAATGGCCGTCATCTGGTATGCTTGCTCACTAAATAGGGAAAACTCACCATAAAAATCATATTTCCTGTTGAATTTTCTGTATAAAAATGTGTCATTGAAGTACATCATGAGTATATAAAGTGTCCAATGACAAAATAAGAGGAGCAAGTACCTGAAAATGCATCCAACGCAAGGGGAAAAAGGAGTCGAAATTTCGAACTTTTTTTTGAAATATCTCGATAAATAGTGGTTTGTTCACATTTTCATTATCAAATTCGTGTTTTTCAGACAAAAATACGTAAGTACCAAAAAAAATTTTCGAAAAAAAACCCATCGCATGCTAAATGCAGTTTTACCGATATTTTGCTAATGTAGATGGATTTTTCATAAACTTGTAGAGTTTTTCCACTAATTTCTTCACATCACAAATTATGTTTATAGGACAAAATTTCTGGAAGATTTCCCCAAACAGAAATTCAAGGCCAGAAGAGAAGAAGATAAAAATAATTTGGTGTACAATCAGTCCAGAAGAGCAACAAAAATGTTTGAACTTCTCTATGGCCAATGAAAGGGACAAAATCAGAGTTGGCTATGACACTGTTATAATAGAATGTCAGCAGGCTTCCAACAAAGAGGAATGCATGATTATGCTTGATGAAGAGAAAGCAACAATGACAACCTTAGATGCTGGAGCAGTTTTTGTTGGGGGACGCTTCCACAGTTTAGTTCCCATTGCCCAGGAGATATTGGAAGGGGGACATACCTATCATTATGCTGTGGCTGTTATCAGAAAGGGGACTTTAGATTATGTTACATCACTTAATCAGCTTAGAGGGAGAAGGGCTTGTTTTGCTGGTGTTGAGACATTTGCTGGATGGGTTTTACCAATAAACACTGTGAGTTTTCCAAACCATTAAATAAAATCATTACCAAACTAAAGTGTAAATGGTGTGGGTGCATAGGAAATATTATGTATACAAAACTAAACTCAAATTAATGACTATACAAGTTAAATCACACAGTCAAAATTACTCAGTTCCATCAAATTCAACATTTAAAAAAGAAAATTCTTCAATTCTGTATGCCTTGCCTGTTGAGAATTTGTTAATTTCAATTTCAAACTGATGCATAGGGGAGGAAGGCAAAAAACCATGAGCTGAAATCTAATATTTTTCCCATGTATAATTCACTATTTTTTTCTGTGACAGAAAAAAGGACCAATCAATATTGAGAAGACACTATGCTATATCAATATCAGAAAATTATCCACATGAAATTTGAAGTTTTTAACAGGATTGACACCTGTGTCATTCTGTTGAAGTAATCAAATATCTGTCAGTCTAATTCCATAATTTGATTTCAAAAAATTGCCAATTTAGTGGTTGTTTAGATATTTAAATAATGGCAACCTCGACTGGAAGATGAAAGAACTTGGTGTTATTGGCTTATTTTTCAGAACTATAGCACAACAAAAGCCATCAACAGTGTATGGGTGGCTTTGAAATAAGTGCAAATATCCTGAGAAAGCTGAATGTATACTATTGAATGGCACCAATAAATCAAAATGAAATTTTAGTTTAGATCCCTTTTTCTACCCAAAGTTCCACACTGTAGCAATTCTGATGTCACCTCTATTCAAATTTCCCTGAGGATGGCACAATCACACAGAGTTGGATCATTTAAATTGATTCAACGTGGCCTACTTAATTCTTTTCTCCTTTCTTGTTCGATTTTTGGGAAGAAATTTCTTGTTAATTAGAAGTATTAGAAAAAATCTGATATTATGGGTATATTCTTTAGACTGTATCATATTGATGTGCTGTATATATGTACTTATTTCAAAAACACCTCGTATATTATGTCATATAATATATCCAAGAAAACATTACTCACTTTTTTCCTGTGGAAAAAAAGTAATTTATGAAAAGTGACATGAAATTTCAAACTTTTTTCCCGTCCAAACCCTTTCCCTGTCACAGAAGAAAAAGTTTTATTGATTCCTCTGGTTTGTTATATAATTTGGATCATTTTCTCCAATATGTAGTCTTTTAAATGGTAAGTGTGAGGGTGAGTCTAACTTTCCTCTAGCTTCTCTACCATAATTGAATCATAATTGTGCAGGTATTGAGGATCAAGTATTATTTTTGTGCTAATGTTATCAGGGGTAGATACATAAGAGATCATGTTTTTAGTACATTTCAAGTTGTATTTGAATATCATTGTAATTTGGCAAACATTTTCTAATCATGAAATTGCCAGAGATTGCTTGAGCGATTTTTTCTACTTTTGTTTTGATGACCTCATTCTCAAATATAGAGATGGGTTTGGGTTGACTATAAAAGGAAAATTTCAGCAACATTGTTTTTCAGTTTGGTTTATTTTTTCCAACCACACTCTTTAGATCCTTTTGCAATACTAGTGGATTCCTGACATTATCATATTACTCAATTTGTTGAAAAATCCTGTGAGTAGTTGATCAGATCATTTGCATACATGAGAAATAGTAGGGGCCCAAAATGGAACCTTATGTAGCATTCTGATGTCATGTCAAAAACGTCAAATTCATCAAGGCACACAGAGGCATATTATTCAAAAACGTTAAATTCATGAAGGCCGAGGAGCATTGCAAATATTTCCTCTCTAGTTGATGAAAGAAGGTGGCATGGAGATAATCCATTGTAACAACCACGTGAAATCGGCATCGAATTACATCGTGCGCTGTCAACATTCTCACGGACAAGTACAACCCGATAGGAGACAACAAAATAACTTTCTATAGACAGTTTCAGTTGTTTACACAAGATCCTTTTGCGATACTAGTATATTCATGTCGGTAGCATACTACACAACCTGGACCAAAAATCTACAACTTTTTTTTCCTTTGTACAATAAATAACTATTTTTCTGTGACGGAAAAAAGTTCGAAATTTCTTCTTTATTGACAGGTTATAAAATGTCACTTTTCTTAAATTACTTTTTTCCAACAGGATTTTCATCTCCTGTGACTACACAACCTGGATCAAAAATCTATTACATTTTTCCCTTGTATTATAAATAACTTTTTTTTTCAGAAGCTAGCCAATTCAAGAGACATAATATTCAGCCGCAACAAAACTCAAAATATTAATATCCTCAAACCCCGACGTTTTCCACTCCCCCACTCGTGTTTGTGTTCAAAGTTTCTGAACGAGAATAAACCGTATTCCTTGGAGACGTCATAACTAGGAAAATGCATGATTTCAAATCGATTTGAACACGTTTCAACATGGGTTCAACAAGATAAAAAACTAGTTGATGAAAGAAGGTGGCATGGAGATGGACAGTTTCAGTTGTTTCCACAAGTTCCGTTTGTGATACTAGTATATTCATATCGTTAGCATACTACTCGACTTCATACCTGTAAATTGTGGATCAGATCAGATCATATATGAGAAATAGTAGGGGGCCGAGAATGGAATCTTGAGGCAAATCATGCTCATTAATGAGGGCTAACATTATTGACTGTCCACCAAAACGCGCCACTGAAACGTGAGGTCAGGGTTGGTAGAACTGATAGAATAGAATAGAAATGTATCCACCTTGATAAACATACAAAGTACAAAAGGTAAGTCACAAAATAGGAATATTTTTGAATATATTTTTTAATACACAAATACTATATTAAAATAAAAATATATATAAGGAGTGTGGAAAACTATTTTTGATTGAAATTATCATTGATTGAAAATATACACCTGCTGTTTGGCTATTACTAAAAAATTCTTTCACTGAATAAAAAGAGTTTTGTTGGAAACATGTTTTCACGTCATTCTTGAATGAACTGTAGGTAGGTTTTGATTTGATCTCATTTGGTAGAGCATTATAGAAAATGATGCAATTGTAAACGGGAGATTTTCGAAATGTAATTTGAAGGTACTGTTAATATTGCATATTTTTTTAATATTTCACGATAACTTGCACGATAAATATTTTTTTTTTCTTGTCATTTGGCATCTTCCTACGATATCTTCTTCTAAATCAATGTAAGAATTGGTCGTAAAATTCAACATTGAGAGTAAAAAAACGTAAGTCGGCTCAAGTCTCTCGATAATTTGAGGTTTTCTATTTGTTCAAATATTCAACATCATGTTTTTCTAATATTTTCGATAAAACAGAACATAGTCTTTAGGGTCTGTTTCATCGAAAATTTTGGGATTTTTGGCTATGACACTGACCTCACGTTTTAGTAGCGCCAACTGGTGAGAAACTGTTAGCCCTCATTCTCTTGTCATGTCTAAAACATACGAATGAATGAATGCGATTCGAAAGCCTTTGTGGTACGAATAAATGAACTTAATCCAAAATTATGATTTTCAAAGAAACTGCAGGAAAACGAGTTGCACAATGTCACGACTTCCCTCGTTTGAGACTGCTCCGTGTCGTGAAGTGCAACAAAAACCTAATCCTCTAGCTTTTGGCCCTTTTGGTCAGATCATGGTGGTCGGCATGGAGACCGCCTCAGGTCCAAGGTTACATAGGCGCATGCACAAAAGTCCACAGTTTCAAGCTGCTAATAGGGAATATGTAGCGATTTGAAGCGAGTAGCAATAAGCAATTGAGTTAACACTAATTACAGCCAAGCATTTTTGAATATAATGTGAAACCAACCGGGTTACACGAGAATAAAAAACTGTTCAAAGACGTCGTCTCACTACCGAGTAAATCAGATTACTGGTCGTACCTATATTCTCGGCAGATTCATGTGGGTCAGAGGTCGTTTTAATGCAACAGGTACGCGGACACATTTAACAATTGACCAAAGGCATTCCAAAACGAAATTCATCAAGGCATACAGATGCATATTATTCAAAAATGTCAAATTTATGAAGGCAGAAGAGCATTGCAAATATTTTCTCTCTAGTTGATGAAAGAAGGTGGCATGGAGATAATCGATTGTAACAACCACGTGAAATCGGCATCGAATTACTTCGGTCCTTCGTGCGCTGTCAACATTCTCACGGACAAGTACAACCCGATAGGCGACAACTCCGATAAGCTGTGCCAGATCTGCATCGGGAAGATTCCCGGAGGCCGATGTACGGAGTCCGACCCGTACGCCGGTTATGAGGGGGCCTTCCGATGTCTACTGGAGGCCGGGGAAATCGCCTTTCTGAAGCACAACACTGTTCCCGAGGTTCTTGCAGCTATGGAGTTTGGTAAGAATAGGTCGCGTGCACGATGACCGACACTGGAGGTAAAATATTGAAACACAACCTCACTCTTCTGTGGAACATTGAAACACAACCTCACTTTTTTTATTTGTTTACAGAGGAATCAAAGGATTGAAATAGTTTTTCACAATATTTTGGCATGTGAATCGTGTTTTTTGTGCTATTCATGAATTCAAGCATGACTTCTCATTGTGCTTTTGTACAATGCACAAAAAATGTAGGGAGAGACAAAGGAATATGATTTTTCAGGTTAATAGTAATCTCACATAGGTCGCGTGCACGATGACCGACCCTGGAGGCAAAATATTGAAACACAACCTCATTCTTCTGTGAATTATTGAAACACAACCTAACTTTTTTACTTGGTTACAGAGGAATCAAAGGATTGAAATAGTTTTTCACAATATTTTGGCATACGAATCGTGTTTTTTGCGCTATTCATTAATTCGAGCATGCCTTCGCATTGTGCTGTTGTACAATGCACAAAAAATGCAGCAAGAGACTAAAGAATTGATTTTTCAGGTAAATAGTGATCTCACATAGTTATCATTATGAAATGTTGTCATTCCTTATTAAAATTCCTTCTGCCTTCTGTCACTTCTGCAATACAAGCTAATACTGCTAATAGATTGAAAATGAGAAAATGTCTACAACACACACGATCGTCAGCATGTCAGACCAGTCCTCCCGATTGATTGCATGAATCCAATTTTCTGGCATTATTTTAGAAATTTCAGATGTATTTCTATTAGCTTCTATCGCAGAAAGAATTCCGATGAGAAATCAGAGAAATTACCAAATTTCAAAACTGTCTATATGTGAGTGACTATAGTAGGTACTTACTTTTAAATCATATTGTACCAACCGGATTACTTCGTCTTCCGCTGCAGTTTTTGTGCATTTCACAACAGCATAAATTGATGGCATGAAGGAATTGATGAATAGCGGAAAAATACGATTCGTATGCCAAAATAATTGTGAAAAATTATTTCAATCACTTGTAAACAAATAAGTAAAGTGACGTTGTGTTTCAATTCTTTCAATATTTTGCCTCCAGTGTCGGTCATCTGACAGTTCTTGCAACCTATAGTTTTTATTGTGAAATTCTGTCATTTATTATTAAAATTCCTTCTGCCACTTCTGCAATAGACGCTAATACTGCTAGAAGATTGAAAATGTCTTCAACACACAGGATCATATTTCGTCAGCATGTCTGACCAGTCCTCCCGTTTGATTGCATGAATCCAATCTTCTTGCATTATTTTAGAAATTTCACAAGTATTTTTATAAGTTCCTATTGCAGAAGGAATTCCGATGAATTTCAAAAATGAAGACTATATGTGAGTGACTATATTATAGTAGGTACTTACTTTTAATGATAATGTACCAACCGAATTCCTTCGTCTCCCGCTGCATTTTTTGTGCATTGTACAACAGCACAATGTGATGGCATGCGCGATTTAATGAATAACCGAAAAACACGATTCCTATGCCAAAATAATTGTGAAAAACTATTTCAATCACTTGTGAACAAATAAGAAAAGTGAGGTTGTGTTTCAATGTTTCACCTCCAGGGTCGGTCATCTGACAGTTCTTGCACGCAACCCATACCCATGTTTTGCCACCAACGAAACCGATTTTGTAACCAGTGGCGGCTCGTGCTCCTTTCAACAGGGGATGCATAATGGGAAGTGTGAATGTTGAATTTTCAAAAAAAAAAACTGGTGACACTTATAAGCAGTGACAGCTCGTCAGGGACGGCAGGGTCGGCCGGGCCGTATCAGAAAATTCGAGGAAAAAAGCTGAACTATTTGATGAATGAAATAATTGTTCGGAACTGTTTTCAATATTCATCGTCTATTATGCTACTGTTATGTCACATTTTTTTGAATTTCGTGCACTGAAACCTTTGGGTAAGCCAATAAGCCATCCGAATATACACCGAGAATCACGAACTAATTCAGGATCTACGACATGACACTACTGCGGTCGGCTGGCCGATCGGTGACTTATTAGTTTCGTTTTATTTATCCGATTCCTGCCACCGGAATCACTTGATGTGTCGTTTTATTTGCAAATTTTCCGATTCCGGTTGCTACTTTTCATTCCGTCTCACCAAAAGGAATAACGAGAATTTACTGTCGACAGTTGTCAAAAATTTGAATTAGTTCGACCAAAAAACGAAACTTTTTGAAAGTAGAAGACATTTAATTTAGAAGACATTTTCATCGTGAGGTGCAAAAGTTTATGATTATTTCAAGAAATACAGGTTTCATATGTTCATTCCCAGATGAAATGAATTCTCCTCGGAATACTCCCGATTTCAGAGAAGTTTCTCCAATCACCACAATCACTGCTCCAAATATGCGTTGATTCATTTTCTAGATTCTTACTCTTGTATCATTATAATGAAATTATTGGGAGGCCCTATATATAAATATAACCTGCATCATCCATAATATGTATGTACTTTCATGAAAAAACCGAATTCATACCAGACGCTAGTTGTTCAGTTGTTTACTCAAGTCACCTAGTCACCTGTTGGTAATGACGTAGACACCAAGAACAGTGACATTAACAGTACTTCAGGAGGCATGGAGTCACATATCCAGCAATCAATTTTCCATATTTGCCTTGGGTGACATAAATTTTTAGATGTCATGCCATTATTTCACGTAGTTACCACAACATTTACCTATTTATCCTTTCATATTTGCAGCATCTTTGACGGCAGACAGTTTCGAATTATTTTGCAAAGATGGCACCCGGCGACCGATCAGCGAATATCTGGCTTGCAACTGGGGCAAAGTACCCTCCGATGCCATCGTCACTTCTTCGGCGGTACCGTTCGAAGACAGAATCAAACTCCAAAAGTTCCTACTGAAATTCGCCGAAAAATACCCGAAAACCAACAGAACATCTGCTTCTATCGGACAGAACACTAACAACAACGACTACCAGAATCCCTACGACAGAAATGGACAGAACGAGAATCAAAATCCGTACGATCAGAACAGACAGAACGAGAATCAGTACGATCAGTTCGGTAATAGAATCAACAGGTACAAGAGGCAGGATTACAACCCTTACGGGAGAAACGGGTATGATAATTCGCAGGACCAGTACAATAATAGGCCAACGGCGCCGAATGACAATAATCAGAATGACCCCTTTGCGAGAGATCCCTACAATATTAACCGCGAGCAGTTCGGGGTCAATATTGACCCGTACGGAAGTGACGTCAGATACAATACGAATCAGGATATCGGGAATCAGGCGCCTGTCGATGCGAACAGGTTTTTGGGGAACAACCAGACAAATGTGACCTACTACGAGGTCTTCAGTTTGTTTGAATCTGTTCCTAGGTATGGGATACATGGGAACTTGCTGTTTCAGGTGAGCTTCTTGCTACAGGTTGGAAAAATGTCCCATATATGCGTGGCATAATTTCGGTGGGTGGTTTGCATCAAAACCAACAAAAAAGCCTAATGATATCATTGGAAATGGATACCTGTGAAGTCCACATATTATGTCAAGTTGACAATAACAATTCTTGTTAAAACTTCACAAAGATTCACAGAAATTTCTCTAAATCATGACATGTTGCACTTTTTCAAATATCTCCATTTGATACCTCACTATCTCTAACCCCACTTTTGTCTCTTCATAGTCATTTTTCAATTTACAGCCAGACCAGTAACAAGTAAGATGTGTCAAAATCTATTTTTAGGTTATCGGACTTGCACAATAGATTCCCTAGAAAACATTTTCTATACTCTAATAATAAACTTTTCCTTTATGTTACGATTCAATGGATGGTACATATTTATTTAGGTCGTCAAAATCCAGCCCCAAAATTTTCAGAGTAGGGTGACATTAAACTTAGACTCATAACCTCAGAAAGGGGTTAGGTTAGGTAGGGATTCCCTTTCGTTTGCGAAGAGATAAAAAAATCAAACCAAGAAGGCACAAAGTATACTATCGAATGGCACCATTAAACATTGAAGGGATCCAAATAAAATTGACAGGTACTCCACTTTTATTCTAACACGTATATCTGGGATGCTATCTATTAGTGAATAGATATAAATTGGCGCTGAACGAAAATATGAGTACTATTTTCCATCATCCAATATATGGAAAAATCATGAAAACTGTTTGTTTTTAGGATGCCACTAGAGGAATCTCACCTGTTCCAGAAAACCTTCAGACATACACGAATTTCTTGGGAGACTCTCTCAATACCATCATGGGAGTCAGAGATTGCCCTGTCGCCAAAATGACCATGTGTGTCACCTCTGATGCCGAAAATAACAAATGTGTCAAGATGCGGGTAAAACTTTATTTGGTTACTTAGTTTCACAACATTTTTTGTTTCAAGTTTTCTGTCAAGTTTTTAGCCACAGCTTCATTTCGCGAATGGTTTACTAATTATTTTCCTCGTCAATTTCCCTCGCAATCCAAAATTTGCGTACGCTACCTAGTGGTGATTTGTGGAATTCATGATTTATCTTTTTCATCATTGATTATTAGCCATTGAACCAACTGATATATTCCAGTATAACTGAACTGAATCAGTTAACATGTATTCTTTCAAATCACTATCATTTCCCCCCCCTGATGCTGGGTAGTGAATCGAAGTGAACTAGAAGAACCCTTGGTGGAACTATAATATGGTGTACTACGACGCATCTTCGTATACGTCACTGCGAGTAAAATAATTGCTCTTTGCCGTGATTTTTGGTGCGAGTATAGACTCGCAATGACGTTATGCGCAGATAAGACGAATTCAGATATCATAGTAGCACACCATATATTTTTACTATGGAAGAACCTAGATTTTCTTCAATTACTTTGTTCAGTTTGGTTCAGTTGTCAAGTTCTGTCAGATCTGTCCGTTCATCGAGAGTTTAAATTAGAAGAAGACAACACGGGATATTTTACATTCTCAAATGCTTTCCTTTATGGGAAACATAAGTAAGAGTGAGTAAGATATATGACAGGACCTAAATGCGCATGATTCATGTTCTCCATCAATCGTGGGCACAGTGTCTCCAGTTTGATCTCGTGAGTGGATAGCTTCTTTCTTATGGCCAGAGATTATACATTCCCCCATTAGCGGTCTAGATAATAATATAGTAATTCCATGTAGCATGTAGTGATCAGGCATTAAGAACGTGATTACTAATGCTACTTCTGCAGACGGTACACCCCTACTCTCGCCTATAGACATGGCGTTCATGGCGTTTTGACGAGGGGCAGAAGGACGATCTAGCCTTCAAGAGCCATCTATTGGCTGACGTGCAAAGGTGTATAAATATATTGTTCAACAATTATACCTTGAGAGTGAGTTGTGCATAGACCGCTCTCCTTTGCTCACAGGAAGATTCCAAATTACAATTCTGTAGACTATCTCAACACCTGTAAATCTACGCTGTCAAAAACAAGCGAGATTTTGTTGATGAAATAATATCAATAATACAGTATCATTCATGAAGTTGGCATCATTTGGAAACACTTCAAATGATAATATCTTTTGAAATTCGACGGGCGTTAAGTTTTGCTTCAAAAAGATGAGAAATTGCCTACTCTGTCGGAGTTTGAATTTCAAAAAAGTTTACTAAGAAGAGGTTTTATTGCAACTTTTATTTCTTGATATTTTTTTATTTCTTCTAATTATATCTTCGACAAAACTGTCCTAAACTTTGGGTAGATATGTAAAGTAGTTTGATGATATTTTGGGTATATTTCGAATTTAACTGGTCAGTACTGTCAGTACCACTGACTGCTGAAAATATGTGTTCCGAAATAAAAAATCAAAAATACAGTGCTGTAATTTCATTTCATTTCATTCGGAACATGTTTTCATGGTTTTCATAAGTAATCAGCAGCACTTGATCAACTGGTGAAAAATTTCAATACTATTCTCAGCGTCAATTATTTCAATAACTGGCATTTTCTGATATTAGGTATGGTATTATTAATTTATTATCGATAAGACAAGGATTAATGTTTAAATAATAACGGAAATTAATTTGAAATTCCTTCCACCTCTGAAATAATTACAATTAACTGAAACCCCACTACCTTTCGATAATCAGCAATTTTAGCAGAATGTTGAATCGAAATATTTGGAGTCTGCCCACTAGTATCTGTCACTTTCAGTGTTTATTTTTTTATTTTGGAATGCCAAATCAGCAGATTCAGAACTCTCAGTTGAATTCGGAATATAGCCTCTGAAATTTGAAGTGGATATTATTATTTCCTGAAGAAAATCTGTCTGTCGAAAATTATAATGTTTGAAAGTTAGTAGCATGATGAAGCTACTAGAATGAAATAATTTTTGTTTAATATCGCAGGTATTTTGTAGAAATTGTAAAAAATATCAAAAACTGAAAGTTGTTATAGAACATTCAAATTCATGACACACAATTATGTAAAATTGAAATAGAAACAACTGTTTTTACTGAATTTTCTTGAAATTCAGCGATTAATTTGAAAACATCAATCGATATCTGATAAATAATAATAATGACAATAATTATAATAATAATAATAATGTCTTTATTCATCATAAGTTACACAATACACAACAATAAAATTAAATGAGATGGAATGGTAACTTGAATTAGGCAAAGGCGGGGTACTGCCATGAAGCTGCTTTTGAACCCAGCCTTCAAAGGAAACAACAATTTGGGTTTTTTGAAATTGAAAAAATAATAATTTTCCAATCAAGTAGTCTGATGGTTTGTTTACTTCATACTCGCGCCATTTGCTTTACACTATGATAGTTTTTTGATACAAAAAAGAAGCATCTTGATAGAAATGTTTATCTGGGGGTTCAAAAAACCCAAATTCAAAAATGTTTTTTAAAATTATTTGGGGCCTAACACCCTTGTGAACCATGTTATTATTTTATAGTTTCTTTTCTCCTTCTACCTAGCAAGGTATGTCACCCATTTTCCAATAGTGATGGAACTTCTTTTATTTATAAGTTTTTGGATTTTAGCCTGATGATGACTCCTAGGAGTCGAAACATGTAGTACGTATTTTTATTAAAATTCACTTGGAGTGAGACTTTGAGTTTGTTCTCTTAATTATTTTTAAAGTGTTTATATTATAAATTAAATTCTTGGTCGAATCAAAATCTAAGAGAGAGAGAGAGAGAGAGAGAATTCTGAGAGCTACTGCATAGTTCATTGAGATGATATAGATTGCCTTGTTCGATACATGACTTTCAATCGTTTTTTGAAGTTTTGTAAACTGTATGTCAGTGGTCACGATCGGCATGTCGTTCGCAGACCGCCCTGAAGGCGCAACTCCTCAAACCGGAAATGGAGTGCTACAAGGCGCACTCGCAGATCCACTGCATGCAGGCGATCAGGGCCGGCACGGCGGACGTCGCCGTCCTCGACGCCAGCGACGTCTACACGGCCGGCCTCAACTTCGAGCTGGTGCCCTTCCTCAGCGAGGTGTACAACCTGGAGGAGCCCGAGTACTACGTGGTGGCCGTGGCCAAGGAGTCCGATCCCAGTACGGAGTTGACGTACTTGAAAAGTGAGTGCTCTATGGACTGTTGATTATGGGAATGAAAAATATGTCTCTACACCTTCTTCAGTTGTAATTCAGGAAGTGTAACTTGTAATTCAGATTAGTAAAATGTAAGTCAGAAAGTGTAATTTGTAATTCAGAATAGTCAATTGTAATTCATAAAGCGTAATATGTGATTCAGAAAGTATCACTTGTAATTCATAAATACTATGGACTTAAATCAGGGTAGGGAATAGAAATCAACGAATGGTTCATTGTGCGGTGGAACGAATGGTTTATTGTGTGGTGAACATCAATATTTTATATTTATCGACCAACGGGCATATCTTGAAAAGCCAGAGCTGCAGCATGGTGAATGGTGGTGTGTTACGCAGTTCGAGAACGATTCTTGAACAGTTCTGAAATCGGAACCCGAATGAACCTATAGAATCTCCCTGCTGATTTGAGCACGATTCGGCTTTTTTCTTTTCAGACAAGAACACCTGTCATGGCGGAATAAACACGGCGGCCGGCTGGGTCTATCCGCTGGCCTTCCTCATCAGCAACGGCTGGATCAGGCCGTACGGCTGCAACAGCATCCGGGCTGCCGCCGAGTACTTCACCAAGAGCTGCGTGCCGGGCGCCATTAGCACCGAATACAACACGGGCGTACCCTACGATAACATGTGCGACCTGTGCCACGGCGCCAGTTATAGGTAGGCCAAACATATTGACTTTTTTTTATCTCGGCCTTTATGGACACCACGAAGGTGTTAGTGAACCCACTAAATTCTCATCCTCCTCCTTTCAAGGCTCGTCTGACCGAAGTCTCCGATGACACTTAGGTCTGTTGACCCATTGTACCTCGAATACTCGCCTGAATATGCCGTTATTGATTTTACCATATACGACCTATTAGTTTAAGAGCTGGCGACAAAAATCGGTAAGAGTTAAGTCATTGTCGATCTAAATGAAAACCTAGTAGGCGACCTAGTGCGAGGAGGAAAAATGTTACGGTTAAGAATAAAAAATGAATAACTTAGTTTACTTAGTTCACGTAGATGTCTCTGAACTACATATTTTCTCCATTTTTCTTTTCAATGAACAGACAATATTATAGCCCCTGCCTACTAACTACCTAACTAGATTGTCATCTAGAACGACAATGGTTTAGTAATGGTCCTCATTTCAATATGATTTAGTTTTGAGGGTGTACATGAGTCAGCACCCACTCGCAAGGTCAGTTAGTGAAACAACTGGTGGCGACGCGCTATGATGTATGTAAAATTACGACATGCTCTACAAGTGTTTAGTTATAATTGAAAATTGGTAGGAAACTAGCTCATAGTATAAAAAAACGGGGGAGAGTGGTCAGACCCGATGTTTGTGGAACGCGGCGAGTCAGCACCCCACATAAGTTGTCGCCGGAACGATGTCGGTGCAAGAGTTTAGTTTTGACCGAAAATTCCTGTACTGCTTTATTATTATAAATAATGTAATAAAAAATAGTCAGACCACCAATTGATGGAACTTAGGTAGTCAGCACTCGCCCAAAGTGAGGATATATGTCGAGTACTCGCGCGGTTGTTCTGGGGGCGTAGGGATATATACTTCTTCATTTATCACTCTATATGAAAATTCATTTTATAAAAAAAAGTAGGTAGTGTATCTCAGAGCTTTCGTCATTTCTGGAATATATATATGAAACTTTTGTCAGTGTAGGTACATAATGTAACTTACAGTGATTCAGAAGGCTGACTACCCGAAACTGCTTTTCTAAACCGCTTTCTCAAAGGCGTAAATTTTCGGTAGCACACTGTACATGATAACCTCCAATTTGGTTGGGAGTTGACGATAATACTACACTATTATAATTCAAATTATTCTCACAACGACTACATATTATTTCTCTGCATTTTGCAAGAGTTTTTTCAACAAAAAGTATAACATTTTTATCTTTTTGCAAGCAAATAAGGCCGATGGGAGACATTTTATACGCACGAAACAATCGAGACTGTACAGCCACCACAGGAGGGACCAAAGGTTTTTTTCGTTTATTTCTAACAGTTTTTGGTAAAAGTAAAAACGACTTGCTTTTTATTCAGAATGATGAGGTTTTAAGAACGAATAACATGAATCACACCTATTGTTATGGAACTGTAATAAATGTTATATATTTCAGTTCTTTTTTTCAGCTATAAAATACATCTCTGTTTCCGATACAAGACAATTGAGTAGTTGAGTTCGTATTGGAATTCACACATGAAAGAGATCAGAAATGACGGAAACTCTTAGGTACACACCGACTGATGATGTCATCACGTTGGCTGAAAACACTACCTACTTTTTTATAAAATAAATTTTCATATAGAGTGATAAATGAAGAAGTTTATATCCCTACGCCCTCCGAATAACCGCGCGTATACTAGACATATCCTCACTTTAAGCGAGTGCTGACTACCTAAGTTCCATCAATTGGTAGTCTGACTATTTTTTTATTACATTATAATAATGAAGCAGTACAGGAATTTTCGGTCATAACTAAATTCTTGCACCGACATCGTTGCGGCGACAACTCATGTGGGGTGCTGACTCGCCGCGTTCCACAAACATCGGGTCTGACCACTTTTCCCGTTTTTTATACTACCAACTAGTTTCCTACCAACTTTCAATCATAACTAAACACTTGTAGAGCATGTCGTAATTTTACATACATCATAGCACGCAGCCACCAGTTGTTCCACTACCTGACCTTGCGGGTGGGTGCTGACTCATGTAGGACCTCAATACTAAATCATATTGAAATGAGGGCCATTACTAAACTCTTACCGATTTTTGTCGCCAGCTCTTAGACTATATGCTTCTTATATATGGGCCACTCCAAATACCGCCACAACACAGTTGGAAGAATTAATATATCAGTTGCCTCACTCTCTCAAAAGTTCAAAGCATCAGGCGGCCCGGTGGTCGAGAGCGCGAAGGCGCTGAGTTCGTATGGGGACTCCCACCGAGGCATGGGTTCGAATCCTAGTTAGGCCATGGGTGTTTGTAAAATGTATGCTTTCCTAAATCCGCACAAGTTTCGACTTATGGGGCGTTGCATTCAGTGCTGGGTCCGACGAGGAAATGCAATTGAAAATAAATTGAAAAAATTAAAAATCATTCCCTCTGCTCCGTCTGCTCGGGCAGACTGCTAGCAGTATGCCGACCGTCGTCCGTTGTAACAGGTCGTTCAGGAAATTGCATCGCTTCGTTTGATAGTGCAGTGTACAGGGTATCTCGGGGTAAATTTCGATTATTCGTGATAAATTTTGTATTAAAATGGAAAGTAAATATATTTGCACGACAAATTGTAAAAATGACATCAATGACTTCTTATTGAATTTGACTTCCCCAGTAAAGACGCCGTTGATCCAATGAGTGTAGCTGTAAGCGGCACGGTTTTGATTCTTTCAACTGTGGCCACAGTAACTGTGAGAGCAGTGCTGCTCACAGTACCAGAGGTTCGTTTGAAATAGCCTTCTCGTTCAGGTTCCTGAAGACTACTCTTTCGCTGATTTTTCAAACTTGGACAATCTATGTTTTGACATCATAAGGTTATTGGAATTTCTCGTGAAATAATCATGGCAGTCGGAATTTTTAGATAGTCTATTCAGGTTGTGCATGACGTGCAATATAGTCTTTAAGATGTAGATAGATGGTAATGGTAGAATGCAGTTGTCCACAAAGGTTTCCTTCTCCTCATATTTCCTGGTCAAACTGCCGAAAATTGCATAGAAAAAAGTTGCGGGAAGAAATGTCCCTAGCTCCACCTATTTCCCACGTCCCTGATCAACATTTCGGAAAATTCTGAACATTTCCAAATCGGCTTGCAAAGTAATATACATGTACAAAATCGTCGTTATCTCAACACAGAGGGTTTTGGAAATATTTACAAAAAAAAAAAAACATCTCGGGCCCTTTTTCAGATGGCTATTCGCGGGAATCAATGTTACCAGGTGGCGCTCGGTTTTCATCGTTCCATGTCAAAGCTACGTCAAAACTGGAAGAAAACAAACTCAATCCTCACTCAATCCATCTCAATCCCATTAGTGCCATCAGCTTGTGTACTGTGTACTGATAAGAGTGATAACACTTTATGTCATTGACAAGTTTGACAACTACAGCTACAGCAAGATGTATGCAATGTAGTCTATGCACTTTATCCATAGACAAAAGTTTGTTTTCCACCAGTTTGAAGTTCGTATTATGTAACCTATATGTCGCCCACTTCGTGAATCTCGCGAATAACTCCCCAGGGGGGCATATTTGGGCTCATGTTTATATGAACTTCTTTACTATTTTTGTTCCTAGAATTTGTGTATGTAATTTCGGCACATCCTGTAGATTTTTTCCTTATTTCCAGATACTGTAGACGAGACGCCTCCGAAGATTATTACGGCCATACGGGAGCGTTCAGATGTCTGGTTGAGGGGGGAGGAGATGTGGCATTTGTCAAACACACCACCGTTTTCGAAAACACCGGTGGAAAAAAGAGGGAATGGTGGACTAGAGACAATTTGAATGACGACTATGAACTGTTGTGTCCAGATGGTAAATATACATCAAGTTTGCTGATACTAGGATTGCTACATATAAAAATGATGGTTTTCATGAACTTGATGAATTAGAAAGTTTTCATTACTATTTAAAAGTGACAGTTATGTGGTGACTTGTTCTATTTGTTATGGAGCGTGAAATAATTTACTGTTACGATTTAGCAGCATATTTTTCAATTCAAGTTGAATTCTTCAAAATTTAATGACATTATATGAAAAACATTACTGGCAGACATCAGGTGAGGTTAGGTTAACTCATACCATATGGGTCGCGTGCAAGATCTGTCAGATCACCGACCCTGGAGGTCAAACAACACCAAATAACCTCACTTTTCGTATTTGTTTTCGAGCGATTGGAAATAGTTTTTCATTATTGTTTGTGATTCTTGGGATATTTATTTATTAAAGTATTCCACTACATTGTGCTGTTGTACAATGCATAAAAAAGCAACGAGAAACAAAGGAATAAAGATATTTCAGGTAAATAATTGTGATCTATAAGTAATGTATTCACTCACATTGTTTTCATTTTAAAATTGTGTCACATCTTTTGAGAATTTCCTTCTGCAATAGGAGCTATTAGAGTGAAACAACATACACTACCATAGTCCTTCTGTATTTTCTCTTTAGAATTACTTGAATGTCTACAACACACACGACCATATTTTTCGTCAGTATTTTAGACCAGTCCTCCCATTTGATTGCACGAATCCAACCTTTTTTGTTTCTTTTAAAACGTTTACAAGTCGTTTTATGTATGAGTTTGTGAGTAACTAGGTACAGTGCTTATAGATTAGAATTTACCTGAAAAATCTTTGCTCCTTCTTCTCTCGCTGCATGTTTTTGTGCATTGTACAACAGTACAATGTGATGGCATGCTTGAATAAATATCCCAAGAAACACGGTTCTGTGCCAAAATAATTGTGAAAAAGTATTTCAACAAATAAAAATAGTGAGGTTAGTGAGGTTGTTTTGCCTCCAGGGTCGGTCATCTGACATTTTGTGGCGCCGTTTGGCACACAACAAATAGAACCAAAAGAATTGTGCGACCGTGGTATTTGAATTTTTTTTTATGAAATTAGTATAGTCGTACTTCTGATATTAACAGAAATTCAGGGATGAAAACCATAAATAGTTCAATTGTAAATAGTTCTATTGTGTTCTAACGGACGCATAGTTTGACAGGTCATTGTACTGCCTAAGAGTATGTTTCTATCATTATTCCAGACAATTTGACATTTATACACATAAAATGCATATACGTATTAATAAACAATACGGATCATAACGGGTGCCAGGATGAAGCCAAAAATATGAAACAAATGAATATCCATGCTATGTATTTTGAACACACTCTTGTTACGAACAGACTTCTAGGTTAAGTTGGTACTACAAGATAGGTTGGCAACACGGAATGTCCAACTGTCAACAGTGTCAACCTGTGACGGCTGTATCATGTATTATGTATGTTCGAGGTAGAACAATGCCCGTCTTTAGATTTATCGTTAATTAATAAATCTGTGTTAAGTAGAATACCAATGGTGTATTAATTCCTAGTCTAATACACAACATTTCTGGCGACGAGAACCGAGACGAATCCGTGAAGATGGTCATATTTTTTTTTGTGATGTGTGACATTGAAGCCAGTGAAGGTCATGAAGTAAGGTAGCCGTTTTTTTCTTCTAAGCAAGCAGCGTATCAATCAATGGTCTCTTCAGTTCGAGTAAAATAAAGTCTGTCTAGTCTGTCTGAAAGTCCAGTCTGTCTAGTCTGTCTGAAAGTCAATACCCAACAAACATGTCTTTAATCGGGAGTATCGAGCATTTTAACCCAAAGTTTGATTTCATCGTGGATAGAACGGTTAGAGCAGCTTTTTAAAGTGAATGATATTGCAAACACAAAAAAAGTGCCGCTTCTACTCACTTTTATTGGGGGAGAAGGATATAGCAGGTTGAAAGATCTTGTGTCACCTGCACTGCCTGATTCAAAGTCATACGCCGATTTAGTGAAAGCATTAAAAGATCACTACAGTCCCAAAAGGCTAGTCGTAGCAGAACGCTTCAAGATGAACAACAGTTACCAGGAGCCAGGAGAAACTATCACAGCATTCGTTGCAAGATTGAAAAGTATGTCCAAAACTTGTAACTATGGTGACTTTTTGAATGATGCTTTGAGAGACAGATTGATATCTGGAATTAGGTCTGAGGATATTAAACAAAAACTGTTAGAAGAAGATCATAGCTTCGAAGCAGCCCTAAAAACTGCTCTTTGCATGGAGTTAGCTGAGGGGCAGGTTAAAGCTATGGATTCTGGTCATAATTTGAATAAAGTATATCACAAGCATAAGTCAAGTCAGTATAACAAGTCACAGTCAAGTCAAAACCGAGTCGTCTAGCAGTCAAAGTCAACCAAGTAGTAGTCATCATCATCCAAGCAATAGTCAAAGTCAGTCATATAGTCAAAGGCAGAAGTGTAGAAGATGCTGTCGTATGCATTTTGACAACAACAAATGTCCAGCAATAAATTGGAAGTGCTTTTCCTGTAATATGACAGGGCACACTGCAAAAGCTCCCATGTGTAAAAACCGAGTTTTTGAGTTGCAAGAAGAAGATGAAAACCAGGAATTTGAAGAGGAGTCAGATGAAAATTTTGAACTAGGTTCATTGTCTGAGGAATGTACCTTTTTGCTTAAAACAAGTTTTGTTGATACCCTAAAAGTTAAATTGTGTATCGATGAACAAAATCTTGAAATGGAGGTTGATTCGGGTGCAGTAAGGTCAGTTATGCATGAGCAAGACTTCAAGTCTTTATTCAACAATTTAGTCCTAGAGCCTGTAAATTTTAAGTTAAGAGTTTTGACAGGGCAAAAAGCAGAAATTTTAGGTCAGGTATTTGTGCATGTTAGATACTTATGTAAGATGTACTATTTGCCTTTGGTTGTCTTAAAATCAGACATCAAGTTTGTACCACTCTTAGGTAGAAATTGGCTAAATATGTTAAATAAAAATTGGAGAAATACATTGCTAGATAGAAGTGTAGTAACAGAAAAGTCCAGTTTAGATAAGTCTCAGATAAAAAGCTGTAGTCCAGTCGATTTTAGTCAAGTCAATTGTAGTCAAGTCAATTTTCAGTCAAATCAAGTTTCAAGTTCAGAGTCGGAAAATGTCAAGTTGAAGTTGATTGCTTCTTTGAAACAAGAGTATAAGTCACTCTTTGAGGAAGAACCACACACTTCAATCAAAGATTTTAAAGCTGAGATAAAGATAAAAGAAGGATTCAAACCTATTTTTCATAGGGCATATGAAATGCCATTTGCATTAAAACCGAAAGTCGAGGAGGAACTTACCAAGATGGTCAAGTCTGGTGTTTTGACCAAAGTATCCCACAGCAATTGGGCAAGTCCAATTGTTGTAGTCCCAAAAAAAAACTCTGGAGATGTCAGAATATGCGTTGATTTCAAAAAAACGCTAAACTTAGCAATTGACAGTGACCATTGCGTTTTACCATTACCTTCTGATATCTTTGCTACATTACATGGTAGTGAGTATTACTGTGTTCTAGATTTAAAAGGGGCTTATCAGCAGCTTCAGATAAGTGATGCTTCTAAAGAACTTTTCACAATAAATACCCACATTGGTCTTTTTAGATTTAACAGATTAACCTATGGCGTCAGTAGCGCTCCAGGAATTTTTCATTGTGTGATGGAGGTTATTTTATCTGAATTACCAAAGACTAAATGCTATTTAGACGATATTTTGGTGCATGGTTGTACGAGGGATGAATGCTATCAGAATGTTAAAAAAGTGTTAGAAAGATTACTGAAATATAATGTAAAAATTAATGAAAGAAAATGTAAGTTTTTTGATCGTTCAGTAATGTTCCTAGGTCATAGAGTTGATGCATCAGGAATTCATCCTACAGATGAAAAAATTGAATGTATTCAGAAAGCACCTTCACCAAAAAATATCACAGAGTTGAAAAGTTACTTAGGTTTACTTAATTTTTATGGTAAGTTTATACCTATGCTGTCTACCAAACTAAAGCCATTGTATGAATTATGTAAGGGTAATACTGAGTATACATGGACAAGTGAATGTGAAAAATGTTTTCAGGATAGTAAAAAATTGATTATTTCTCATGATGTCTTAACACATTATGATCCAACACTTCATATATATATAACGTGTGATTCCAGTGGATACGGGGTTGGCGCAGTGCTTAGCCATAAAATCGATGGTGTTGAAAAACCGGTTTTATTTGCTTCCTCCACTCTTAGCGAAAATGAAAAGAAATATTCAAATTTAGAACGGGAAAGTTTAGCAATAATATTTGCCTTAAAAAAATTTCACAAATACATTTTTGGACGAAATTTTACTTTGATCTCAGATCATCAACCTCTCCAGTTCATTTTTGGAAAAAATAAGAATATTCCTGTTACAGCTGCAGCTAGAATCACTCGTTGGGCCATAACATTATCAGCTTATAAATATGACATTATTTACAAGAAAGGTAGTGAAATTTCGAATGCTGATGGTCTCTCAAGATTACCAATGAACAGTCAAACTGAAATCTCTGATGCAATATTTTCATTTAGCTTATCCTATGAAGTACCTATCACTTATGAAAAAATAGCCATAGCAACAAAAAAAGACATAATTTTGTCCAAAGTCCTTGATCTTACTCTAACTGGTTGGCCAAATTCTACAAATGATGACAATTTGAAACCGTATTTTAAAAGAAAATTAGAATTTTCTGTTGATAATGGGTGTGTCCTAGTTGGTAATAAAGTTGTAATCCCAAAACAACTGCAAAAGGATATTTTAAGTTTGTTTCATGAGCAACATATAGGAATAGTGAGAACTAAAATGCTTATTAGGTCTTACTGTTGGTGGCCTGGTATTAATGAAGACGTTGAGCAGTATATCAATTCTTGCGAGGTATGCCAACAAACCCAAAATTTTTCAAACAGCGGAGTATTACTTCCTTGGCCAACTG